TCCTCAAAAGGACCCTGATATTTTCCGTGCTACATATAAGCAGCCGAGCAATGTAGCATCCAAATTACAGGGTTGTCATGGAGATGGTACGGAGAAGCAGTTATAAGGCTGCAACTGGACCATGGAAGACCCGGGGGCTGCAGCTGTTCCGTCTGTGTGTGCCTCGTTTTAATGTGCTGCTCTTCGGTTTTGCTTTGCTTTTCCGTGCTAAGTTCCAATTCCCTTTTAATTCAGCAGTATTCGGTGGCATAGTGCCAGATGTGAATGGCCGCGATCTGAAATGGATGTGGCCGTTTGGGCCGTGACTTCATTAACACAATTGCTACGTTAGTATTTGTGCCTAATTTTGTCGTGCTAGAAGTGGAGAAGAGGCAGTTTTGCAGGCTCCGGGGTGGCTCTTCCAGGGTGTCTTAAAAGGGATGCCTCCAAAGCGACCTTGCAGAGATATTTGTTAGAAAAAGGAGAGGTTGTCGGCTTTACTCATATTTGACCCCTCCCCTTTTTTTTCCTGCTCTAAATTTGAACAATGCGGTTTGTCTGCTTGTTTCACCTTTACAAACCAGGCTTCGTGTGACATTTTGCAACTGGCAAAAGGAAATGTGTCAGCTACGAAAGGAAATGCATAATTCATAAGGGAGAAATTCTCTTGCCCAAGGCAAGCTGCATCACCGAAGCCCTTTTCTGGGGGAATTGTGCTCGCGTTGTTCATGCGACGAATGCAGGTGTGTCGGGCTTCTGTGTGAGCCAAAAGTCCTCCAGACACTCCATGATTTTGGGTGGCTTTTGAGCTATGCCCCGGGCTTCATCCGATCTCATTGTACGTCCTCACATGACAAAGATGGTATTTGAAGGCATCTCCAAAATGCAGTTTGGGAACACATCCTTGCTGTCTCAGAAAAATATGGTTTCACCCTCCATTTTAATTGTTCTGTCCTCTTAGTAGCATGTCAAGTGAAACGCAGTGGTACAAAGGTGCTGCTGGGGAAAAGATATGGGTGTGATAACAATCACCAGTCAAGCACAGGGGAATTTAACTGTCAGAACGGAGCTGGCCAAGCTTTGGTAAGGAAACAGGAAAGGCGGAACGCGAGTGGCAACAAGCCCAAGTGGAGGAGCTGCCCTCTTGGCCCAGTGTCTATTTCAGTTGGTTCAGACCAAGGAGGCCGCTTGGTTCTCGTGGAGACCCACTGATCCCATGCTTGGCCCTTGGCTACTTCCATGGCTGGGCTGGGCCTGCCCATCAAGATGGCGGCAGCTTTTGAAATGTCCTTCAGAGAGGGCTATGGCTCAGCTCAGCTGGAAGAGGAGCTGCGCCTCCTGCAATTAAACAACGAACACACAGCGCACATAGCAATGGCGGTGCTTCTCTCTCCCTTGGGCCCCCTGGGGTCTTGATAGCCCATTCTTGAGCATGGGGCTGAAGTTGGCTGGGAGGTGGCGAGAGGGAAGCGTGACAGTGGAGCTCCCAGTCTCTGGAGTGAGCGAGAGGTCCGGATGCTCTCCACAAAGAAGCACACGGGCTTCTGCAGCATCACCACACTAAAGCCACATAAAATGGCTTCCACACCAGAGCAGGTGTGGGGTTCTATGAGGCGGCGGTGGACAAGTCAAGCGGTTGCTGCTGCTGCTTTTACGTCTGGGCCCACAAGGAGGAACGGAAACTGTTTGCCCTCTCTTGATCCTGAACCTGGGGTTCCAGTAAGCAGGTGCAACACCTTGGCTAACAGGTAAAAGAAGAAACAGAGTCCCTCTGTCACAGGAAGGAAAAGGAAGGACAGCAATATGAAGGGAGTTACTCAAAGTCAAATATAACGAATTCTGGCAAGAAATAGTTCTGAAACAAAGGGCAAAGCTTTTCCCTGCATAATAATTCGCTGGGTTTTTAAAATAAATCTTTTGCAAGTGGGAATCCTCCATCATTTTTAAGGGGATGTAGTCTCTCCTTTCCTCAGTTTGCCTTCTGCAGGGTCCCGTCACTATGGACCCCGTAGGTGGAATTTACTCTCCATCAGTGATCCCATAACACCACCAGTGCAGAGGAAAGTAATCGCTCTTCCTCCTTCACCTTTTCTTTTTACTTCTCCATAACAGCCCCCCAATGGTGGAACTCATTTCCATCCTAGGCGCGGTTGGTGTCAAGTCTTTATTCCTTCAGACAACAACTAAAAATATATCTTTTTCGCAGCCACTTTGGTAGGTGAGCTGCTTGGCCTCTGTTTTAATGGTTTTAATGGTTCGTGTGTTTTTTTGCTGCTGCCTCACTATGATTTTCACGCCAGATATTTTTCTTATTATGCATAATTTTTATATATCTTCATTAAGGTCATTTCAATGGGTCTAACATCTCAATTGTTAATATCAAAATGTCCCTTTTAATCTCACTTTATCTCATTTTGCTTTATTTTATTTCATTGTTTATTTTAATGTATTGATTTTACTGGTTGGTTTTATATTGTGACTTATTAATGTACGAATGAATGAATTATATAGTTTTCATTGTTGTTGCAGTGGTGTGTAATATGTTGTGAGCTGCTCAGTGAGCCTATGGCTAGTGGGGCAGCTTAGAAATCAAACAAATGCATAAATAAACGAGTTAATAAATAACAGAATCCCTGACACATCAACCACAGCCAATCACACCACGATGACTTAAAGCAGCGGTCCTCAAACTGTTTCAATATGGGGCCAGTTGAAAGGTTGCAGGGACCGTTGCGGGCTGGTGAGGTGCCGTCGGGGTGGCGCAAGGCAGCATCAGGCGCGTGGCGGTGGGTCGCTTGCTCAGAGATCTCCCAGCGAGTCCAAAACTCCGAGAGAGATCTCCGAGTGAGTGAGCCACCACCTCCCCGCCCGCGCAGCAAGCGCGCATGCGGGCGTCAAACAGCGGATGGCCGTGGAGGGCCGGATCCATCCCATGGGCCATAGTTTGAGGATCCATGACTCAACGGATGGATCCAACTCATGCGTCTTTTGAGTAGGTACCCATGCGGACACCGCGTCACTAAAAGCCAGCTGTTGCAACATCGGCCCATAAAAATGCTCCTGTAGAGCTGTGCAAAATTTAGCTAGAGGCAAGCCACAAACGGCTCGGGCGTACAGCTGAGGCACCCCAACACCTTCGTCCTAAATCATTCCTTTGTCGCAGGCTAGCATTGGTCCTTGTCAGAGAATTCGCCTGCTATTAATATTGGCAATTAAGAACAGACTAATGAATTACTGAGCATAGCTCTAGAATAAGGTATTTCCACACCTGATGGGAAAGGATGCACACCAGGGTTGTACTTGGGGCATGCGCAGAATCCGTGATCTTTCTGGTCTCCTGGAAGCTCCCACACCAGTTCCAGAACTGCCCTTTTCTGGAGTGAAAAGGGGGGGAATGTATAAAAATTGTGGACAAGAGGGGTCCGGAAGCATCTTCATCTCCCCAACACGGTAGGCAAAATCGTTTGTCAATTACGAAGCGTATTTTGCCTGTTCACCCAAGAAACGCAGCTAGTTGGAACTCGCATTCAGTCGTATTCAGTTTCCTTAGTGAAGCAGCACTGCGGAGACAGTTCCTACTGCTTAGATCGCAATGCAACCTTCTCTTACTCTTCCGTAGGCCTCACTGAACTAAAGAGAGACAAGGACGAGTTTGCATTGGATCGATTCTGCTCTGAAAGACACAGTGCTGGGAACCAGCTACATGGCAGGCAGATCTATCAAACTGTAATATCCATCGCTCAAGTCACCAATATTAACCAATATTTGCATCCATTTTCCCACAGATATGCAAAAAATTAAAAGAAATCCACTCCTGATTTCAAAAGTAGATTGTCCTTCTAAACTTCAGCAGGAATGTCTGTTCCCTGCACAGCACCCGTTTTGTACCTACGGGTTATGCTCTTTTGTTTCCATTTCCAACAAGGAGCAAGTTGCCATGAGGATTTAATTGCTCCATGTGGAGACATTTAAACTCGGTGGCTTGCTGTCCTGGCCATCCCCTCCTCTTCCGAATAAAGTTGTCTTTCAAAGATGGAGCAGTGTTTAGGCCAAAGTGGGTCACAACAATCAAAGAGAGTAAATCGTTTCTGCTGACTCTTCAGTTTGAATCAAAACTGGTTTGGCTCCAAATCAAGCTTCTAAAAGACCTACAGTTTGTCCTCCAATTACAAGTAAAACAAAGCCAAAGCCAAACCCTACAATGAGCATTGTTCTTCTGCAATCAGAGTGAAAAAGAAGCAGAAATGTCCCCTGTGACTCCAAGGTGAAGAGGGAATTCTTATTAAAAAGTTCTGGAAAGCAAATGATTGATACTTTCCTCTACATAAAATTTTCAGAGTAGAATTATCCGGTGCAGCCAAAAACACAGGAGCCGGTGAGGTTTGCTGGGAATGAAGAATATCTGGAGATCTAAAATGCAAATAGCTGCCCTGGTTCATTAGCAAAGCTGATGACAGTGATGAAAGCCAGTGCGGTGTGGAGATGAGAGTGCTGGGCTTGAGATCTGGGTGCTAGTCCTCATGATGCCATGCAACTCACGGGGTGACTGTGGGCCAGTCAGATTCTCAGCCCAGCCTACCTCATAGGGACACTGTTGTCAGGATAAAAACGGAGTGGAGGAGAACTGGGTTCTTTGCGAGAGGGAAAAAAGCAGGATGGAAATGCAACGGGAGAGTAATAGGAAGACCCACAACTTCCAGTAGAGCCAAAAAATTTTAGCAGGCAAGCTGTTGACTTCTCTGGATCTCTTGGTCAGGGAAGAAGCTGAATGTTTGAAAAGATGGTCGGGGGAGAGAAAATGATTCAGGGAAGGGGGGGACCCCAAAGCCCACAGTTTGCGGCATTCATTCATCTTTGCTGTCTGCAATAAGGATGGGGGAGAATATTGCTTGGTTTTCATTGTTCATCAGGTTGACTAAATTCACACCTCCCACACTCATGGAAGGAAGAGGCTGCAGTTTCACAGGGCTGGGGAGAAGGAGAGGGAGAGTCAATCTGGGAACGCGAATCCCAGGACGAGGATGATCGGGGCCCTGACAAGGTTTCATGTCTTGATGATGGAGCGGAAGGAGGCGTGGTTGATCAGCTGGGAACCAAATGACGAGAGGAGAGCTTTGGGCGAGGAGGAACCGCTCCGACTCGGCCACAATGAGGTCCAAATGGCGATGGGCCCACCTCGCCTCCTGTCAAGAGCCAAGGCGAAAAGCATCGCTGCCGCGAGCACCGCTGTGAGGGGGAGGGAGTGCTCTGCCCTTATCGGTGGTCCAAAGCTAATTTTAAGGAACATAAAATAACTATCCCACAAGTTTGGAGGCAAATAAAAGACGAGCCGAGATGGTGTGTAAGACATCTGGCCGCCATCTCAGATGTAAAGGACCACCAGTGCACCGTGCACAGCCCTTCTCTGCCTCCCTCGCTCCAATTGCGGCCCTGATCCTGGGACGAGCACACCGCCCCAGCCACGTGCAAAGGGGGGGTGTCTAGGCAAGCCCCTCGTGAGCAGGGTCGGAGAAGCCCCGTCGCGCCCCCAAAGTCACCCGGGAGGCACCTTCCCAACGCAGCCGCTCCCCCGCACCCGGCCTCCAGCAGGAGTCCTCGGGGGAAGTCCATGGCTTCTCCTTGGATTCCTCCGTCTCCGTTGCGCCCCAGACGCACCCTGTTGTCATCGTGTAGCTTCTCACTTGTCGCAAATCGACAGGCAGCTCCGCCTTGGAGCAGATGTGCATTGAGTTTGTTCCACCCCATCGAAGGCCTCCTTGGATCCGGACAAAATGTCTCATGGCCCTCAAGGAAACTTACTCCTCCGGCGGTTCTGGTCGGTCCGATGCTTTTCGGCCGTATTTGAGGGAAGCCAAAGGTGCTGCTCCAGCGCTGAGGGAGCTATTTTGAGCTGAATCATCAGCAGGAGCAAAGTGGCAAATTGGCACCGTTTCTGCAGTTTAAGGTGTTGTGGAAATCACACCGAATCTCCCAAGAACTGCCAAAAGCTCGACATTGCTAGGGACCACATTTCAAAATAAAACGGGCTTAATCTGCCTCAGGTTGACGGGACGGGATGTGATCTAAATGCGTAGCTTCCTTTTATCTGGAAAGGAAACCAGAAGAACCTTTGAGGAATGTCTCCAAATCTGCAGCAAGCTGGCCTGATATGTGGAACACGCTTTTCCCAGTTTCTCTCCCCAGCACAAGCACCAGTGGATGCAACAATGCACATTTTCAGATAGAAATAACAACAGCAGCAGCAACAGCAACATTTCTCCACTGCCTGTAGCCAGAACTCCCTGGGTGGTTCACAACATTTTATGTCACCCGTCCAGATTTTAGTCAGGCCTGACCCTGCTTAGCTTCCACAATAAGGCGGGTTCAGGCACTTCAGGCTACATGGAAGCGACTTTGCAAATCTATTTAGATGCATAGTTTGAGAGAAAATACACCAAGAAGTGAATAATTTCTAGGAAAGGAAGTTAAAAATAGGTATTTACACATTTCCATGTCAGTTTGTAAAATGACGGGTTAATGTGGAAATGGGAGAGAATGGACTTAGGAATGAACATGGGGAGAGTCCAATGGAGGAGAAATTAACCAGTCCCCCCGTTGCTGTATTTATTTGTTGGCATCGTTCTTTTTAGACACACCCCAAAGCCCATCATCATGGAACCCGGGCAAATTCTCTCTTCCCTAGACAGGAAGCCCTTGACTTGCTCAGCCCTTCCGGAGTATGGCTGCTTGCCTTGCTCATATAACATTTGCTTTTCCAACTAGTTCCACACTGTGTGGAACACCAAGCTCTTGACACGTCTCCTCATGTCAGTCCCGTTCCTTCCAGGCTCCTCCAAACACAACCAGTGCCCTTTTTCCGATGGGGAAGGCAGATGAAAATTATTTCCTGCGCAGGAAGTGCTGCTACCGAAGCAACGGATGAAACGCTTCCCGTTCGGTGTATCTGGGCAAGAATCTGGCCACCCTTCCCCTGTCTGAGGCCGCGTGTGCTTCTGCCAACGGGAACCTACACGCAGACCCATTAATGGCAAAATGAGTGATTGACTTTCCTTGAAAGCTCTGGGGAGCGATTGAAAGTGATGTGTCTAATATGCTCAACTAGATGCGATGTCTCCCAAGGAACTCATGATGCCGGAGAAGTTTTGAGGCAAGCCTCAGCGAGAACAACTTCTGAGACCCCTTTGAATGCAAGACGGCAATGCCACATCTGACAAGGTGGCCTCCACCAGAAAGGGCTTGTCCTCATATTCGTCGCTCGGCTTGCCCAAGCGCCGCATTGCTTTTGCGGTGAGAGAGCAGCACAGTGGCCAAAGCAGCATTCAGACAAACAGCCACCCCTTCCTCTGCTGTGAGTGCCGGACGGCGCCTCAGTGAAAGGCAGCAAAAAGGCCAAAATTTTGCTGCAAAAAGGCCATTTCTGCAGCTGCTCGATGCGTTGCCAGGAGCTGTTGTGGCTGCAGAAAGAAAAAAGCTAGTGGAGGGTAATGGGAAAAGAAAAGCCGTGATGGAAAGTTAAAGGTTTGGCAAGGGGACACAGAGGGTGACCATGACATCCAGGCACATGTGTCGGACCGAGGTCCATTTTGCACAAGTTCTCAGCAGCCAGAAACCTGCGGCAGGAGAGTGCAGGGCGGGAGAAGGCAGGCCCAGAGCAAAAAAAGGGGCGGCCAACGGGAAAAACCAAAAGTGCCAGCATCCTTTAGCCTAAAGTACGTCCATGCCGCCAGTAGTGAGGTCTTGGGAGAGCCGATTCTGCCTCTCAGGTTGGGGAAAAAACTGCACGAAAGCCAGGAAATGTCCCAGCATGGGTGGGCCCAAGTGAAGGCGGAAGCGAGGGGGCTTCCAGCCACCCCATGTATTCCTGTAACAGGTCAAAGGGTCGCTGTAGTAGAAAAGTGTAAGGTGCTTGCATTTATTTTACCCCTAATGGGCACGGGGCGGCATGGGCATTCTGTTGCCCGTCGTGGAAGGCTGCGAGCCATCATTGGGGTTCCCAGAGAAAGCTTTCCAAAGCTCACGGTCGTGGACTAGTGGAGTTGGAAGGGTCCTGTAAGCCATTGGGTCCAACCCCTGCTCAGTACAACCACTCGAGCCTGTTCGTCCATGTCTTGTACTCTGGGATGATCGAGAAGAGAACCTGGCCTTCCTCTTTGTGGCAGCCGTCAAGCAGCGCGCTCTCCTGCCCCCTCCGTCTTCTCTTCCCAGGGCTAAACGAGCCCAGTTCTTTCCATCTCTCCGCGCAGGGCTTCGTTTCCAGTCCCCGGGCCACCCGGGCTGCCCTGCTCTGAGCCCTTCCCAGCTTCCCCGCATCTTCCCTCACCTGCCTCAGGTGCCTGGAACTGGGCACAGGTGCGGCCCCAGCGGTGCTGAGCAGAGGGCACCAGCGCCTCCCGTGCCTCGGAAGAGCGGCTCCTGTTCATGCAGCCCGAACAGCATTTTCCCCCTTGCTGCAGCCACATCGCCTCGTTCAGCTGGTGAGCGGCAACAGTTCCAAGAGCCTTCTTACTCCGAGAATTGTTGCTCTACTGCTGCAGGTGTGCTCATCTTGCAATTGCACTTGGTTTCTTTTTCCGAGGTTCAGGATTTGGCATCCATCCCTATTAAACATCCTTCTGTTGTGTTCAGCAAAGTGCCACGAGATCACTCTGAAGCCTGTTTCTGTCTTCCAGGGCATTAACTGGAGGGCACTGCAAGAAGAGCTAGGGGCAATTCTTCTGCCTCCCTTGCTCTTGAGCCTCGCCAATGTGAGATGAATTTCTTTCGGCCCCCTTTTTGAGGACTAGCGTCTTTCTCAAGCACACAAACTGCTGTCTTAAGGTGCAAGTTACGTACATACCTGGGCAAAGAGAAAAAAAATGTAAATAATGGGGTTGGATATCAGGAAAAGTAACAGCTCTCATATTTTATGATTGCTTGTGCATCACTGTTCACATTTTTCCTCTGCACGTACTTTCCAACTGCGGACGACGTTTCATCCATCTGGTAAGGTTCTGTGCCCAGTACTGACACCAGGATTCATTTGACTGTCAAGGCGCTGGAAAGATTTTTGTTGACGCTATTAAGGCATGATAAAATGGATGTACTATTATCCCTTCAGGGTGAAATATTACCGTTATATTATAGTACCATCAGTGGACAAAGCGCTTTGCAAAGTAATGTGAGCTGCTTATTTGGGGTGGTGGCTTGTTTGCCCTGCCTCTCCCAGCCCTGCACAGTGGGACCAGAGAGGTGAGGCAAGGCACAGGAAGTGGGGCTGCACCTGCAGAAAAGCCCCTGTGTGTGCTTAGGCTTGGCCTGGCCGGGAAACCCGATGCTGGCGAAACCAGGACCCTTTCCAACGTGTCTGCTGCAAGCTCCTTGTCCCCTGGAGGGTCTAAGGGCTCCCTGCTTCTTTCTCGTTGCAGGCTCAAGCTAGCGAGCACCGGCACCCCCGAGCCAAGCGAGACTCACCAGAACATGAATGGAGAGATCCCCTTGCCGCCGTCGCTGGCCGGGTGCAACGAGCGACCGTCCCTGGCCCTCTCGACCACGAGCAAGCGGCTGGCGGGGCCGGCGGGGCCTGCGTCCAGCATCCCGAGCAATGCCGAGCCTCCCCTGGCGATGGGGGGCAGGACGGCGGAGGGGGGCTGGGGGGCCGGCACAGGGGCGTGGAGGGGGGCGGGCACGCAGCCGGGGCCAGGGCCGTGTGGGCCCCTGGAGAATGCCCGGCACGGCCCGGGCGGCCCGGTGCTGACGAATGGGCTGCTTGCAGGGCCCGGGCTCACCAAGGGCAGCCATGGGGGCGGCGAGGAGGGGCCGGCGAGCCCGGGGGCGGCTGCTTCAGAAGGGGGGCTCTCGGCAAGCAGCCCGCCATGCCACGAGCCACCCGGCAGGGCCAGCCCGCAGGCACTCCTTCCGGAGGATGCGGACGAGAGCAGGTAAAGGCACTGCGGGGCGAGAGCACGGGCGGCTCAGGTGGGCCAGGACGCTTTTCTCCTGACACCAAAGCTGGCTTTTTGCTGAGTGCGGGGGACACAAATATAGGGCACAATTTGACTTTTAGGGGTGGCAAAACAGCAACCGCTGGCCCGGTGTGCCGCTCGGGCGCTTTGCAGGGGCTGCCAGCCTGGAGGCTGCCAGAGGTGCCCCAAACAAAGGGGGACCCGGCTCCACGGGAAGGGTCGCTTCATCGGCCAGCAGCAGGAGCGCCAGCCAGTGGCCTGGCTGCTCCGGAAGGTGGCCAAGGTCTCTGTGGCTCTTGGCCAGCAGTTGGTTGCCCCCTCCCTGCCCCCTCCTTGGGGTCAGTTGCCCAGCTTCTGACCACACAACAGTTCCTTGTTGGTATACCTAATGAATTTTACCTTATTTTATTTTGTTTATCTATTTAAAACTACTGAGATCTCAGGATGGTGTTACGATAAAACAGAGTATCCAAATTGATTTTCTATACAATAAAACCTCACAGCAAAATCAGACTCAGACCTAAAATAAAGGGAAAATAAAAGGGTTTGGCCTGGTGCCGAAAGGGATAACGTGTCGGTGCCAGGCGAACCTCTCTGGGGAGCGAATTCCACAATTGGGGTGCCACCGCAGCGAAGTCCCTTCTCTGGGTAGCCACCCTCCTGACCTCCTTCAAGGAGGGCTCCCGGAGCAGGGCCTCCACCCCAGATCTTAGGGAAGGAGAGGCTCCTTCAGATATCCTTTAGAACAAGTGACCTGTTGCCTCAAGCTCAATATGACTTGCAACGGGCTATCGTGTTGTGTGAACCCAGTCTGTCTGTCTAACTTGGCGTAGGTTCCCCCCAGGTGAGCAAACACCACCTGTGCAGAGCAGCTGGCTGATTCAGACGCCACAGTTCCATGGATTTTGCAGGCATGCGGTTTGTGCTGGAAGTGATCCCGGATCAAGGGAATTACCGCAGCCGCGTATCCCTGAGCTCCGCCACATGTACAGGGCTTCTTGCAACCTTGCATGAGTCCAAATACTGGGAATACTTCTGGAAAATATTTTCCAGTTTGGAACCAACCTGTATCTACCACTGTCATTCTTCCATTGTTGGAAGCTTCCTTTCCACCACTTCCACTGTTAAAGAAACAAACTGGTTTTTAAGTTTAAACTTTAAAATTTATACTAAAAAGCATAATGGAGTGGAAGCTTGTAAGAAAAAAACAGGTTCTTTGGCATTTTCTCTGTTTTCAGCATGGTCCCGGGAACCAGCTGAAAGCGGACCGGGAACCAGGTAAAATGGACAATAATTACCGCTTCCCCTCCAGTTTTCGAGCATTTGAATCTATATTATTGCAAAAACGAGCAGCCTGGTCCCCCTCCATCCCGTGTCTTGCATCTCCACTCGCTTCTCCCAGTGCAGAGATCTTATTAAATAGGACTTCCCAGGAGGACAACTTCCGTGCTGTTCAGCTCTGCCTTTCCATTTCAGCTTCGCTGCTGCAGAATGTTGCAACCAGGATGACCGGGAAGATCCTGCATTTAAAGACATCAGGGATGGATTTAGCTCTACCTTCGAAAAGATCGTGGAATCTGAGCTTATGAAGGGCACCTACTACAGCAGCCTGGACTCACTGGACGTGATTTCACTGACCGACGAGACGGACAGCTGTGTGAGCTTTGACGCTCCGCTCACCCCTCTTATCCAGCAAAGAACTAAAGAAAGTTCCGAACTTCTGGAACAGAAACTCTTCACCCACCAGAAGCAGGCTCTGCCGCCCGTGGCAGCGGAGAAGCAAGACGTGGCGATGGCCAGAGTTACGGAGGGTGATTTCGGGAGTCCACTGAAACACGCCATCACCAGCAGCCGGTCTGAAAACGTGCTGAGCAGGACATCCCTGAGCGGCGTGCCCAACGGGTTCCATGCTGAGGGGTCGGAAGAAAATGCTGTGAAGCTTATCAGTTCAATCAGGTAAAACGCTCTTCTACTTGACAGCCCATAACACAGATGCATTTTCCTGGTTAATTGAATAAGCTGCTTAAACGGAAATAGGCTAATGAGTCGCTTTTTTATGTCCCATGGTTTTGTTTATTGTTATTATCATTCCTCGGCACAGTGGCAATAGGAACGGTGATCGGTGATCGTAACAGACGCTGAAAGCTTGAATTGGTTTCAGTGGTAGATCAAACAAGTTTAGTAGCTTAGTCAATGAATGGCTTCGCTGATTAATTGTTGGGAACTAAATTTGATTGGTGAGGGGGCTTTTAATCAGTGGAGCTGAGAGTAAATTGCATAGTTTGTGGCTAGTGTAAGTTTTCACTTGTCTGTCCACATTAAAGACAGGCTTTCCCCCCTAACATTTCCTGGTAGCTTTTGCTGATTAAATGTTTATCTTATCCTTCCATAAGTATCTTTAAAATACACTTATACTGAGATGTTAGTGCTATGCAAATATATTCATGTTCGATTGATAAATAAGCTGTCCTTAAACCAGTCAATAAATATTTCCTTAAATGCATTATTTATTCATTGGCTTTGTCTGCTGCAGGGTAGACTCTTTATCTACCCTGCGGCCCTCCAGCTATCGGTGGACTGCAATTCCCATCATCCTTGACCACTGGCCATTCTAGCTGCAGCTGGCAGGAACCGAAACCCGTCTTGCTCAGCCAGATCCCCGAATGATGAAATGCCATTAGTTGTTGATCCCGGGAACCTAAACCGCAGCTCACGATTCAGGCTGTCCTTCATGGTGGCCTGTGAAGTATCGCTTCAGGTCCTTCAGGCAAAAGCATCAGGTCCTTCATCCTAACTGACAGGGCTGAAGGAAGGGGGATATTTTGGTGGGATCTTCTAGGTACCTGTCCACAGGATGTCTTCTTGGCTAATGATGTCCAGAAGAAGGTTGCCTGGCAAATACTAAGGAATTGCAGATCCAGTTGGGGGTGAAAAGCAAGCCTTAAACTGGGAAATCACAGCTTCTGACATCGTGCTGACTTCACTTCCACGGATTTCAGTCAGTCTACCCTAGGTGACATTAAATCTGGAACCAAGCCACAGGGGTTCCTCACTGCCCGTTTCCGTGATTTTGAGCAAACACGGAGCCTCCGTGTTCCTCCTGTGTTTCTGGCTGCTTCACAGGTGGAAGAGCAGACGTTGTGTTCAGGTTTTAAATGATGCATGACTGTTTCTAGGACTAAAGTCCTGTGCCTCTAGAAGAAGATGCTCTTGAATGAGAATTGTTCATTGGCAACACAAATGTTGGCAAGAAACATAACTACCGGCTGATTGCCTTCAGGCTAGGAACCACGGAGAGAAATCTGGAATGTGAATGCTGCATATTACATGTAGGAACCCGGTATGGAAGAGGCTGACCTTAGCTGCAGCAACACAGATGCCGTCCTTGGCTTCACACCCTCTGCAGCAGACTGCTGCTGAACACGACTGGGAAACGGAAGGGGGTGTTTCGAAGCTGGCAGGAGCTTTGCATTATATTCCTCCATGGAACCATGACCGAGGGAGGTGGTGGTTCTCCCACAGTGGAGGCCTTCAAGAAGCAACTGGGCGGCCCTCTGAGAGGGGTGGTGCGACTGGGAGCCCTGCACTGAGCAGGGGTTGGGACCCAGCAGCCTTCCAGTTCTGCTAGTCGGTGATTCGGTGATTCTGCGATTCGGTGACTCCGTGATTCAATGCTCCCCTTCTGTAGCGGCTGCCTGGTCACCATCTTTGTGGACTCACTGGAAGGTGCTGGCCTTCAAAGTCCCAAATGGTTTGGGATCAATTATTTGAAGGATTGCCATACAGGCCTGCCAGGCATGAGCGTGAGCGTCAAAAACCCCATTCTCTAGCCTACCAACAAGAACTATTGCTCTGGAAGCACCAGAGATTGGGCTCTGGAACTCTTGCCCAGAGAAATGGACATGTTCTCATTTCAGCTAACTTGGAAAAACCAAAAGCAGCTTGAAGATGCATTTATTCCAGTCAGCATCTTTGCTTGAAATCATTGGCTGCTCTTGAGTATGTGTTTAATTGTAACTGTACGTTAATCTTTTTGGAAGCTGCTACATCAGGCAAGTCAAACTATGCTAAGCAAATAGATTAACAAGTGCATTTGCTCATAAGTTTTATTTATTTATTTAGAAAGCTTCTATGCATTCTATATATGCAATCAATGTTAGAGAAGGATCAAGAAAGCTGGATGCAGTTAAACATGAATTGCTTTACTTGATATTAAAACAAGAGCTCTATTAACAGACTAAGTTAATAGTTAATAAAGATTAAGAGTTAATAGCCTGATTAACAGACTTAGTTAATAAATTATTCTGAAGTTTTCATACTCTTGCTCATATTTCCTGATTTTTCAACTTAATTTTAAAAACTCGAAACTAACAAAGGACAATCTCCAAAGACTATGAAATAGGGGACACGTTTTTAGCTTCTGCAGAACTTGCATCAAGCTGGGTGGTGCAAAAGGCAGAGAGAGGGAGTGAACCCACAAAGTGCAGAGGCTGGGAGGCCCGTGGCACCAGCGCCTGCATGTGCAAACCAGTCTCAAGGTGCAGAATTCATTCTGCTCTTAGTCACAAGAAGCCACAGTGGGTCCCTATTTTGAAAAACAGAAGCCTGCCTTTTATTCAGATCAGTCTCCCATACTGGGTGAGAACTGCAAGTTCCGGCGTGGGCAGAGAGAAAGCTGCTTTCCTGGGAAGAAAACTGTCCTCAGACCTGGGCCCTCCATTCCGCCTCACCTGCCCTCAGCCCTCCCCCTCGTCCTCATTCCCCCCACTACATGCCTCCCCTCAGCTGGAAAGGTCACCTGCACTGGCAGGACATCTTCCTTTATTTCTCAGATTCCTCTCTTGCCCTCTTTCCTTCCATGGAACTCCGGGCAGCTTCCCTCACTCTCCTCCTCTCAATCTTATCCTCACAACAGCCCTGTGCGGCAGGCTGGGCTGAGAGGCTGGGATTGGCCCAAAGTCCATGGCCGAGTGGGGACTCGAACCCGGGTCTCCTGAGTCCCAGTCCCGTGCTCTTCACCACGACGCCACACTGGCTCTCCGTTAGAAGTTCACCTTCTGGGTGGCACAGAAAGAAGAGCGGCCAGCAAAGGGACGGAGTTGACACTGCCAGCACCACTGGGGGCTTGACGTATCTGGAACCTAAGTCTCCATTCAGGTCCAGTTCTTCTCACCAGCAACTTCGCTTATTGTTGGTAAGCAGAACAGCACCTGAAGAAGCAATGGGGTTCCAAAACTCATTTGGCATATATTAATCACTTTGGGACAGGCAGAACAATTTCTCTCCAGCTTCTTCCAGCATCCAGCATCTTTCCCCTCTATGGCTTCCATCTTTGCAAAGTTGGAGATTAATTTTGGTGGAAAGGCAATTGAAATTAAATGGGATTGTATTACATACTGGCTGGAGGAAGCTGAAACTTCAAAATCTGAAGACTTCTTCATGTTCTCTTGCAAATCAGCTGCCCAGAGAGAGTGATGGTGATAGGCAGCCTTCAAACAGATCGGTAGAAAACCATCTCCTTCTGGTTGTGGGCTCTTCCCTGGATGCTTTTGAAATGCTAGTTTCTAGAGATGTCTTTCAAGAGCATTCATTCTGACCTGTGCACAGGTCTCCATTGTAGAAAGCAACTTCTTCCATTTTCTTTTACTTTTCCAAACTGCCCCATGCACTGAAAGCCATAGATAATCCAGAGCAGGAAACCAGGTCAGATCCCAGGAGCTGTTAAACACAGAAATGGGGACATGTTTAAAAATGCCTCAAGGTCCATCAAGTGCAGGTACGTAACAACTTAATCGAGCCTTAATTGTCCTTCATTTGGTACTGAGACAGAGACACGCATCTGAAAACAGCTCTGCTTTCCTTCTGCGCAAAAGCAATTGCTCCATCGATTCCTGATTATCCCCGTCATGCAATTTAAGGGGGAAATGAACTTTTATACTTGGGCACTCTGTTTACTACTGCCACAGTGCAGACTTTGCACAGTATGTGAGGATGCGACCGGTCCTCTTGCATCCGGGTACGAGATCGGAGGACTGGCGGAAGGCCCCTTGGGGCATCCCCGGCCCTGACGACTCCTTGTGGCGTTAACGGTTCCATGGCGGCACGATTCACTTCGAAGCTCCCCACGCTGTCGCCAGTGGGATTTACAACTCCCTGACAACGCAGCCAACGCATTCCAAATATTGACCATACGTGGGATTCAGAGGTACCCACCCGACCCTTGTATCGAGCGATTCACCCAGGTTTGGCGATTCCTGCAAATGCTTCTCTCCGATGGTGCTTCCTTTCCCCTCCAAACATTTCTTTTTAATGAAAGCAAAGAAAACATCTGTGACCATTCCTCCCTCTGCTCTGGGGCCTCATGCCCGGAAAAAACCCGGATGCACCTAAAATGGGGGAGAGGGGCCCCCAGTGTGGTCTCCCCATGTCCCGCCTTCCGCCACTCGCTTCAGCCCCCGCTCGCTTAAGTGTGGTTCCTCCTTGCAGCGACGCCAACATCAGTGACGCGCTTTCCGACTCGGACTCCGACATGGGCAGCACGGAGCAGCTGGACCAGGGCAGCACGGACACCCTCGTCAACGGCTGCCGGGCGGACAGCGAGGCGGCCAAGAGGCTGGCGAAGAGACTGTACCACCTCGAGGGGTTCAAGCACTGCGACGTGGCACGCCAGCTGGGCAAGAAGTAAGTGGCCGGGGGGCGGAGCAGGGCCCCGGCGTGGCTCCGGCGGGGGGACGCTTTCTGCGAGAGGCACCGTCCAGGGACGTCTCCTCTGCTCCACGAGGGGCTGGGCGGGGGAACGTGCCCCCTGTTCTGGGCTGCCAGGCTGTCCGTGAAGTGTGGCAGGGCGAGGCGGGGAACACGGCTTGGCCTTCTCTGGGCCTCTTTTGGTGGGTCAGACCCTACTTCCGATGCCCTACTCATAAGCAAGCACAAGCAGGCCCCACCCAACAGAGGTGGCAAGGTTGAATTCCTCCCTCCCCACACACTGGGGTCCCGATCCATGTCAGCCCCCCTCCCCAGTGCTCACTCCTGAGAAAAGAAGCAACCAAGTTGTGTGTGTGCTGGTGTCTGGTTCCGCGCAACTTACACAGCAGTTGTAGGCAGCAGTGAGGAGCTGCAGGCGTGCATTCAGTGCCTGCCCTCACTGGGGAAGGACAGAGCGGGTCTTCGGCTGATTAGGCCACTCCGGCACAGCGGGATAATAGAGGGCAGAGCCTCCGCCGGCAGGGGAGTGGCGGCAGATTCAGTCCCCCGGCTCCCAAGGAGCCTCAAGCGGCTTTCTTTGCAGGGTCCTTGGCATTCTGGCCTCATTGCCAAGGGGGCGCACGGTGAGGGGGAAACTGGTCCTTCAAGTGGCAGCTTTTTCCCGATGACGGAATCCTGTTTGGGTTTAATGGGAAGTTTATTGGGATGTTTTTGCTGGACTGCAAGACAAGGAAACCTGAAGGCACTGCTGCCCGGACTCCCTGGGCATCACATTCCCCTTCCGTGGCCAAAACCAGTCTGCAGATTGGGAAGAGAATTTGAGGGATTGCTGGAGTGGAGGAGGAGGAGGAGGAGGAGGCCGACCATGGAGGACAAGCAGGGAAGGTGCTGTGAGCAACAAGAGCCATCCAAAAATTAGAGCGGGGAAAGGCCAAGGAAACACCCTCTGCGCTCCGACCCCTTCAGTTGCTAGTTTGCCCAAACATGAAGACCCGCCAGGCAAACCTTCCACCCTAAATTTTCTCAGTTTCAACATGGTGGCAAACACTCCCTCATAAATGCAAACTTGATGAATGTAACAATAATACAATATTATTTCATTTTGGCATCTATTCAGTCTTACTCTTCTAGGGTCACTTGGTTATCAGTCTTTACCCAGATTCTAGCCATACCAAGTGGCGTCTGTTTATGCCCTTTGATAGCCTGAATTCGCACATCATTGATTCTTTGTATTTTAAAAGAATAGTTTTTCTTTCACATGCTTATCATTCTTTTGACACCAGCAACAAAAGACATGAACAAAAGCATAAACAATACTTTAAAAATAAAAACAAAGCCACTGCACAACAAACAATGCTATATTCTGTTTTAAGTTTCCACAGCACTTATCAAGCAGTCTTCATTCGCATCAGCCTGAGCTTTTAAATTACAAATGAGGAATAAGAACAGATAAAATTTACTAAGGTAAAATTACCTTAACATGTTGCATGATTTAGATAAGATGCCAGTAACAACATTATTTGTTAATCCATGGGCCTGAAAAATACAGAATTGGGCATAGATTGTCCCGAGACACTAGGAGCTGGATGGTATAGAAAAGCTTTAAATAGGCAAATAAATAAATAGCCATATCCACACTAGAAAAAAAAGAGCAGCAGGGAAAAAGGGGCAGTAGGTTTCCTCCCTCTTCCTAACTCAGCTATTGCTTCTGGAAAAAGGTTTGCTAGTTTCCCCTGATTTAGTGAACCTTAAAAAATGCCTTGCTGAACAAACAGGCACCAATAATCCACCCACAGTGGAATGAACCCATGGAGAGAGAGAAAATTTTAGGTGGTGGGAAGTTGGTGAGGGGGGGGGGTTTAATCCCTCCACCAACCCCCTTTGCCCCGATCCTAATCAGGGCTACAAGTGCTTACACATGCGTAAAGAAAACCATTACGCAGGCACGCGTACTCTGCACATGATTTGTGGAACGTTTGCTTTGACTCTGAAAGATTTACAAAGGAACAAAGAGAGTACCAAATATGGGAAGGAATTTCCATGCGAAGGAGAAGGAAGAAAAAATTGTGGAGAATGGATCCGGCATTCCTTGTAAGTGCGCAGAAGGTCCTTTCATTCTACCATCAGTGCGGCCCTCTACCTGGGTTACCCAGGTGCGAGACCCACCGTGTTTCGTGGAGCTTTCTCCCGGGAACTATGCATGGGCCTGCACCAGGGTGTTAAGCTCTGAACTTGTCTTCACGTCTATTTAGCCTTTGAGAGTGCCAGTGCACATTATGTGCCGGAGAAAGGCCAGGAAAGCTCAGCCATCTGTTTCCTTCCTCTGAAGCAGCTTCGAAAGGGATGATTTAGTGTGGGAAAGCTGGGAGGAGACCATTGCTCAGCCCCTTCCTAACCCACCAAGTCATTGCAAATTCAGCGCGTCACATTTGCTGGTTCGGAGAAGGGGAGCACTGCTTCTCTTCTCTCGGTTCCTATCCTGCAACGCACCAGAATGGCTTTCACCGCCTTCGCTGTTGCCACTGGAGGATGAAAAGATCGAGATACCAACACAGCTCAGAAAGGGTTGGTGAGGAGACTCACACAGCGCTGGCCCGAAAGGATCGTTATGACGGGAAGGCAGGAAATTTGCGGCGAATTGTGCATGTGACCGCTGGGCCCAGCTGCTGGCCTGGTTCACACGTAACAAGAAGCCGCAACCCAAGGAATGGGCATTTTTCTCACGTATCCATCACTCGCCGGCAAAGGCCGAGAAAAGCCCCTAATGGTGAAGATCGCCCTTTCTAGCTATTCCCTTAAATGTATTAGGATTTCTTTAAAGTATTTATTGATGCAGAAACATGCTCCGTATTGCAAGAGGTTAATGACAGCAAGTGCGTGTGAAGAGGGACAGGCAGGGAAGAATTCACATGTGCCAGGAAACAGTACTTGAAATGAGACCTAAATTCACACAAGGCAGGTGGGCGTGAGACTTAGAAGTCTGTGGCAGCATTTGCTGGCATTTCCTGCTGTGCTTCCGAAAATCTTGAGAATGATCGGTAGTTGCCAATATTTACTGAATTTCTGATACTTGCCTCGCTCGCTCACTCGCTCTATGTATGTATGAATGTATGTATATACAGTATCAGATATTTCCACTACTCTCTCCCCTTCTCTTCTTTTCCGATACACTTGCAGACAAAAGGATGGCCATTTGTTTCTTTATTTCTTTATTTTAAATTTCCTGTATACCGTATGATTATTATAAAATCTCAAGATGGCTTACATTTGCTTCTATCCTGCAGATTCCAGATTTTTGTGGTTCCTACATTTTTGCATAGACCCTAATTAAAGGCAAGTTTTATTATCCAAGCCCAGCGGACATTAGGATAATAGGGGCTGAGTAGGGTTCTTTGAAATGGGATGAAGAAATTATTCAACGTCTCTGAAAATAAGTTGTATAGCAGAAGCTCTGTGTACAAACTGCAGTGTTATTGTCTGGTCCAAACTGGAGCTCCATTTTTAACTTTTCTCTTTCTGGATTCCTCCTGTTAGTTGGCTTGGCTTTATGAATGCTATCATACTCCACTGCACAGGTGTTAAAGGGAGGAAAGATGTGAAAGTTACAAATTTAAAAGCAAAAAACACTGGCACCCTGACAAGGAACCATGGGGATGAACGGTCTGACGCTGGGGCCTGATTGCGACTTCTTTGGTTACAGTAATGAATTCAGCAAACTGGTCGCAGAGGAATACCTCCGCTTCTTCGACTTTACCGGGCTGGCCTTGGACAAAGCACTCAGGTGAGCTGCGGGGCCGGGATCCCAAACAGGTGAGCAGCAGCCCAGGGCCTCCACCGTCCCTGCCAGATGCAATCCGTTGGTGCTGGACTTTTCTGGAGCAGTGCAAACCCTCTTTCGCCCTGTCTGCATGTCTCTCTTACATCTCGGTCTTTCCTCCCATTCATGCACTTCATTTATATCTGCTTTGGATCAGGTGATCAGACTGGAAAAAGGGGAAGCTGTCACAACCATGTGTGGTCTGAATTCAGTGCTAATGCTACTTACCTGCAAGCAGGTTGTCTTGAATCCAGTATGAAGGCTGCTGATATCTGAACAGGGCGGAAGCTGTCAAGCGCGTGCTTATGTCTTTATTTAGCACTTGTACCTGCCATCTTGTAGCCACACAGCCCTCTACACGGACCACACAATAAAAACCAACAACGTAATACATAACAATCAAATACATAATTTAGTTGATACATAAACAATTAAAACCACAGTATTGATAAATAATAAAAATAAGGTAACATCACCCTCATAGCAGAAGTACCAATTGATAGTTTAAGAAGCGACTGAACATCACAGTCACAAAGACTAAAATTTAATTTAAAATACCAATTAAAATCAAATTCCAAGTAAAATAACCAACACTCAAAATGAATAAAAATGTCTCGGTCTGGTCCGGGAATGTGTATAAGGACAGCGCCTGGCAAGGATCCCTGGGAAGGCAATTCCATCGATGGGGCAGCACAACTGAGAAGACTCGTTGAAGGGTTGCCGTCTCCTGAGCCTTCCTGGGAGACTGTTCTGGAGCAGGGCCTCTGATGAGGACCGCAGGGTCTGGGTAGGCTGACGTGGATGGAAGCATCCGTGCAGATGTCCAGGGCCTGGACCATTCAGGGATTTGCACGTCAAACCGAGCGCGCTGAGGCAGCCTGGGCTCCCGTGGGCAACCGGGTGATGCACAGAGGGCGGCTGCGAGGTGCTTGGTGTCGGTCAGCTGCCCCGTTCTGCACCAACTGTAGCTCCCGGGCCACTTTCCAGGGCAGCCCCACGGAGAGCTTCCGATCGCAGCCATTGTGCAGCCACTTTCCTTTCCTCCTTGGTGGATTGTAAGGGAAAAGAAAAGCGGGGGGAGCGGGGGTGGTTAGAAGGGGAAGACTTTGTCACGCAGACTCCTAAATTCCGTGGAGGGGGGATGCTTGCGTGGAAGTGCTTCGGCCTCGCAAGCAGGTGGGCAGAGCCAGGAATGTTTCAGGGGCCATGGGGGACTTTGGCCCACCAATCACACAATTCTCAGGAAAACAGCGAAATGCTCCCAGAGAGCTCATAAACAATGGCAGCATTCAAAATCGGCTGATGAATCCAAGAAGGACAGATGGAGTGTGTCCCACCACAGAAGACCAGTAAAACTGGGCATCTGCGTCAGTCATAAGCAAGTGAATACCATGGAAGTGCTCAGTCTTTTTACCACACTCGGAACGATCCCACTCCTCTGATTTCCCCCGACCTTCTCTTGGGTGGCTCATTTCACAGTGCACTTTCTTTGCATGAAATTGGCAGTGGCTCTGCCTTTAAAGTGGCGGAGCCCCGATCCGCACCCCACCTCTACCCTTCCCATCTTTCACCCCACACTTCGCAGTTAGTGGGGAAGAGGCCCTGGGAGAAAGCTGTGGATGGGGGAATCACTTTTCCTTCCCTTCCCTTAAATTTAAATCCTTAAATCCTTAAATTTAAATCCTTAAAATCCTTAAAGCACCCTACCTGCTTGGCTTGCGCACATCTCTTCTTCAGTCTCAGCTTCCCCTTTTCCAATTTTTCTTGGCTCTGCACAAGTTCCTCTTATATCTTTCTCCTCTTGCTATGCCCTTAATTTGATGCTTGGTCCAAACTGCTATATTTAGAACCATCTAATAAGATCATGCTTTGCCCTGTTGGAAAAGGACACAAGGACATTCTTATAATTGGAAAGGTAGCTAGGAGACTATTTCTATGCTTGATGGGTGCAATAAAAGAAACTCCTAGCCTTGAAATATATATGTTTTTAAAATTGCTAAGCTGGGCCATCACTGGAATTGCTGAAGTTTCAGCTGCCACGACGCAGTTGCCGTAATAGGTACAAGCGCAGGGGAACACGTCGCGCCACCCAGCTGCCTGTGAGTCCCGATTTTCTTCCAAATGGGGTTTGATATAGTGGCTTTGATGCATAGTCCCCGAAAGCACTTGACCCCAGATACTTTGGAAGCCTCTTTCCTCCCGCATGCCCCATCCCAAGCTCCACCAAGGGTCCAGGGACTTGGCCTTAACTTTCCGATCAGTGCACAGACCAAGATGCAAAGCCGGGAGGAGAAACTTTGGCTCACTGGAGGCTTTCTGAAGTACATACATATCATGAGGAGATGGCGGCTCTTAAAGCGAGCCAAAGAAATGAGTGGATGGGCTCATTTCGGGAAGGTGGAAGACCAGATTGGAGTTTGCTGACTTGTTCTGATCCAAAAACAAGGATTACTTCCAAAGCACTAACTGCTTTTTGTCCAGCACTGTGCAATGAATATCCACGTTGATGTTCAGGCACAAAGTCGTGTCCGACCCATCGTGACCCCATGGACAACACTCCTCCAGGCCTTCCTGTCCTCCACCTTCCCCCGGAGTCCACCTAAGCTCACGCGGACGGCTTCCGTGACTCCATCCAGCCACCTCATCCTCTGCCGTCCCCGTCTTCATTTGCCCTCAATTGTTCCAGCATCAGGCTCTTCTCCAGGGAGTCCTTCCTTCTCATTGGGTGGCCAAAGTATTTGAGTTTCATCTTCAGGATCTGGCCTTGTAAAGAGCAGTCAGGGTTGATCTCCTCTAGGACTGACTGGTTTGATCGCCCTGCGGTCCAAGGGACTCGCAGGAGTCTCCTCCAGCACCACAATTCAAGGGCCTCAGTTCTTCTGTGCTCAGCCTTCCTTATGGTCCAGCTCTCACAGCCATGCAGTTCCACTGGGAAAAGCACCCCTGTGCCCAGGCCTTCCTCTCTGAGTAGGCTTTGTTTCACAGGATCACAAGATGACCAGGAGGATCAGGCTACGATATTTGTCCACCTGACTTGATATTGCCTGTTCTGTTTGTTCATAGCTCTCCAGAACCTCAGGAAGAAGTTTGTCCCTTCAGCTGTTCCTGGAGATGTTGCTAAGTATTGCACCTCAGAGTTGAACCTGTTGTCATGGGTAATATTCTAGGTGCAACCCAATAAGTACCCATGGCATTAATCTCATAAGAGCCTCAAAACATTCTGGGTAGCAAAGAAACCATTCTCTAAAAGGCAGGGGAAATCATACATTGCTGAAGCAAAGTGGGCTGGACTCTCAGCACAGCCCAGTAACCTGGGGGCGTTGCTCAGAAAAGGTGTCTGGAAACTCAGAACAGGGCGGGTGCTGCCCAAACCTGCGGCAAAGCGTTCCCGTGAGGGCCGGGTCCGGAGCCCTACGTGTTGTGCTAGGGAGCAAGTATGAGGGCCGGCATCGTCCCCGGAGTGGTTCATAACAAATTACTGGTTAATAACTGGTGAACTTTTTATAATACCGTAGCTCTGAAGGAATTTGGCATCTCAGCATCTTCGGACGCTTTGCCGAGGAGGCCTGATAATAGCTCCCTTGTCTGTCTGCTCGCTGGCTTAACGCTCACTCTCTATGCCTAGAACGTTCCTGAAAGCTTTCCCGCTGATGGGAGAGACGCAGGAGAGGGAGCGAGTCCTTGTCCACTTCTCGCACAGATACTGCCACTGCAATCCGGAAGAGAGCACCTCCGAAGGTAACGCTCACGGCCAAGGCAGCTCAGCAGGCTCCCCGGGAGGCTTGCTGGAGAAACATTCCAGGAACGTTAACCCGGAAAATTAGCCTGTCTTGTGGAGACGAATCTGCAGAGCCGAGGTCCGCTGGCAGGAAAATTTGAGTGGGACGGGTGGAATTGGGGGCGGAGGGTAGGCTCTCCCATGGAACATGGAGACCGCGTGGATTGCTTCGTCAGCTCCCCTCATCATCAGCTTGCTTGGGTCTCCTCCTTCTCCCATGACCAGAGAAGGACACACCGCTGCTGCACTGCATTCACCTTCCCTTCTTCCCCTCAATGCACTTGTTGAGCTGCTCCGAGGCCCCCAGGCCCCCAGCAGGAGCCACATCTTCACCTGTGGCTCTGCTTGGACGCCATCCTTCAAAGGGGCCAGAGGTGCACCCAGAGACCGTGCAGGAGGGGTGGCGTTGAGCGCCACCCCTGCTGATTTCCCCTCTCGGCCCCTGCACCGGGGTGCCTTTCGCTTCGGCAGGTGCCGTTCAGTGGGAAGGGGGTGGAGGAAAGACTGGGGAGGTGCAAATGCCAAATGGCTCCCCTCCTCGGGACTTTTAATCGCACCCCTTCGGGTGCTGCCCGGAGGCTCATGACTGAGAGCCCAAGCCCGGCTGATCACAGCTGGTCAGGAGGGATCGTTTCATCTGACCGGTAACCCAAGGAGAGCCCACACTCCACAGCAGGATGCCTCAGCCTGGGGATTTCCATAAATGAAACAGAAGGACACTGGTCCTATTCCAAACTGGCCCACAGAAATGAAAGGGGAGAAAGGAAATCGGAGTAGGAAGCCAGCACCCAGGCGATCACGTAGCAATGCTGGGCCTCAACACTGCTCCTTGGAGTAGGCGCCAAATGCGAGGCCGGGCGATTCACAGCAGCCCTGCAGTGTGGTCCATTTCTGTTACCAGTGCCTGCAGTTCAACTGAACCTGAGGCAAAGATCCGGGAACCAATGAGCGCTCGAGGTAGTGAGCAAAGCTCCCAAGTGCAGCTGAACTGTACAGTCCGTCAAGCATGCAGAAAGCACCCGGCCGTTTCGATGGAGGGCGTGCCGGAGGCGCTGTTCACTCGCACACGCGTGTCCGTGCATGCCGAGCACACCCACAGCACGCTCGCCGCCCTGCCTCCTCGGTGGCGCTTAACCTCAGCGCGCCGCAGCTCTTCTGCTTTTCAGAATCGGTCCTGGAAGGTGGCTTTTGCTGGCCAGATCTATTTGCCAACGATCTATTTGATTATCTCCCCGATAATCAAGGGAGGGATCCATGTGCAAAATGAAACCCAGAGGACAGAAATAGTAACAAGTTCCAGAAGAAAAGTTTTGTTGTTGCCCTGTGCATTTCAGAAATATCCTTCCTCAGGAGCCAAAATCCACCCATTTGCGGATGCCTTTTGGATAGACTTGGAACAGATAGAGCAGAAAGTACTTCAGGACACTTCCGAGACAGCCCTTCAATCAGAGGACTGTTCCCTGTAAAGCAGGACACCTGCCTCCCTGAGAATGCCTCCTATTTAATAGACCTATTCAATTCCAATCACTAAAGAGTGGCTGAGATTAGTAATTAATGGGAGGGAGTTAATAGCAGAACTAGAGAAATACTCTGAACTGGGATTGAAATTCAGGAAAGTTTATCTGCGTACCTCTCAGGTTCTGCTGTTGGAGCTTTGGGTGCTGCCCTGCCCAGGGAGCTAAGCCGAGTATTTGGTTTTGCCAGTTTGTTGTGACCCTCTTAAAGCTCTTCGCTTCTTGCAGATGGGATCCACACGCTCACCTGTGCCCTGATGCTTCTCAACACTGATCTTCACGGCCATGTAAGTACAGACACCTGTCCTGTGACCTGGGGGAGCTGGAGCAGGTTTGGACGGAGTCTGTTGGAAGTGGTGGGCCATGCGGGGGGCACGGCCAAAGCCGTAATCTTTCCAGTTCAGTTCAGTTTGCGAGCAGCAACTCGCTATGTATGGCTGCGAAGGAAACTTCTCTACTCAGGACTTACTCATCCTGGTGAGGTGGACTGGAGTCCATTGTCTTCCAGGCTTAATTAAGAGAGGTGGTGAAGGCACCTTTCTGATCCCAGTCAGAAGAACCTGGAATGGCTCAGGTGGCCAAAATTGCTCACCTGGCCCTCCATCCCAGCCACGGAAGATGCTTGGCCATCCGACCTGTAAAGCTTTCTAGCTCCGATGCATTTGGGCACGTGAGGAAGGAGGCTTCTGCAGCTGATGCTGGACAAGGGGCCGGGGTTGCTCGTGGTGGGCGACCTCAGTGGTCCAGGCATTATGGAAGCATCTTCACTCCTGGTGGGTCACATCCCTCCCAAATCAGGGAAAGATTCCCCTACCAGGAGGATCTTAGACCACTGCTGTATGTGGCCCTTAAGGTGGCCTTTTAGCATCATATGACGTTGTAAAAAGTTAGCTCCACCCCTGAGGCGCGTTCATGGAAGTGCTTCCTTGAGGAGCAGCCTCTCCGCCTGCAGCCTCCCCGGCTCCACCTGGCCCTTCTTGTAGCCCGCCACCACCTTCAGCAGCCCTTCTCCCAAACTGGCTGCAGAACTTCAACAGTGCAGTCTCGGCAGCAAGAAAACACGGCCTGCGCTGAGAAGCCGTGAGCGCGGAACGCTGCTGCACCCAGCGAGGCCGTGGGGCCTAAACGGGGCTCCTCCAAAACCCCGAGCCCCATTCTGTCCAGGGCCGCCGTTCCCCCAAAATTCAGAGGCAACCTGCATTTTTGCTTTCGAAAGCAAGCCGTGCTTTCTCATGGCGGCCTCTCCAGTTGGCAGTGGGATCTCCGGAAATGTCCTCCCCGAAAGACTCCTCTGGCACCTTGCTCTGTGTTCCCACCACATCTGCACGGATCCTGGGTGATTCTGGCGCACATCTGGAACGTTCTGTTCCTAATTCCATATTTTCATGGTTCGGTGTCAGACTATGGCACTACAGGAAGAATTCTCTCTAAACTTCATACCAAGCAGGAAAAACAGCCTTTCTAGAAAAGCAAACTAAGCATCTCATTTCTTCCCTCATTTCTTTCCCTTTGTGTAAAGATACCTTTAGTTGCGTAAACTACCAGTTTCAGGCTGAAGAGTCACGAATCGACTTTACTGCATAATTTGTCCTGAGAAGTGGGGCTGACTTCCCTCAGAGAATGAGGTCTCACAAAAGTTACACCTACCTGGGGGAGGCTTGGACAGGAAAATAGCTCCTGAGCATGCAAATTCTTCCGAGAGTGAAGTGGTGTGGAAAATAGGGCGAATTCCCTCAGAGGGAGCTTCTCCGAGTTGAGTCGTGAACACTGGCGCATGCAGCATTAATTTCTTCTTTCCTTCCTCCTCTTTTCTCTTTCCCGCCTGCTCCTCGGAGCCTCTTTTTGCTCTTCAACACTTTCCTCAGGTGGTAAGTGCTTTCACTAATACCTGACTATGACTGTGTGGCCTTTGATATTCCTTTGTGTGACTAAAATACGCTTCTGTATTAATCCTTCAAGCAAACGCTCGCAAAGTGGCAGCTTTCCAGAACAGGAATGTGTGGCATTTGTGTGCTTTCCCAAACTTTGTTTCCCCAACCCCCTTAGAAATGAATAGGCTTAAGCCGATAACTTCTGCTGGCCTCAATATTTCGCTGCCTGAAATGGAAAGGAAAACTCTCTCCACATGCCCAAAGCTCACCCACCAAGTTATTCTGACACCTGAGACGGAAGATCCCACAAGCTCCTCTCCCTGGAAGTAAACATATAATTATAATAATGAACTGTAGGGGCCGCCCTGGGCATGTTTCGGTAGAGATTTCCTACAAGTCCCATTGTGTCCCGCCTAGGACTGGGGCTTAAATACCTGAGCACCTGCTCTCCGTTCCACGCTGGTTCCCGGTAGCGCCATCTCCATCCTGCCAGGTCGAAGTGTCGGGCGAGGCAGGCTCTCAGCGTGAAGCCTGCACGAAGTTTCCTCCGTGTTAAAGAGGCAAAGAGTCGCTCTGGTCGGAAGCATCTCTTTGTTATTGGTATTACAAAACAGCCGGGCTCAGTTCCGGCCTCCGAAAGGGATGGAGTGGTGGCAGGAACGGAAGGGGTGCCCCTTCACACGAGTTTTCATTCTGGGGCACTGGGCACGTTGGAGGCTGAGTTATTTTCAAACATTCGGGGAAGGGACGCAGGGGCAAGGTCCAACATCTGCTGAAAAGTACTTGCGTGTGCGTGCACAGAATACATTCTGCAAATGATTTAAGAGCTAGAACTTCCCACAAGGCAAAAGAGAAGCTGCCATACTTGGCCAAACTCCCTGGAGAAGTCAAAGAAACCGAGCGAGTCAGAAGGGGCCTCCCAGGCCATCCAGTCTGACCCCCGGCTCCAGCCGGCTCCGCTCACGACATGCCCTAGACCATCCTGCTAGGGAAAATCGAAGGCAGGAGAGGAAAAGGAAGGCCAGGTGTGAGGCGGGCTGGCTCCACAAAGCCCTGAACGTGGGAGCGCTGCGCAGGGCTGTGAAGTGCAGGGGCATGTCGGGCGCCTTTGGCTCACAGGGCTGCCGTAAGCCGGAGGCGACGTGCCGACGTGCCACAACAGAAGCATGATGGGGCTACCATGGCGGCCGACGGCGTACTGAGCTTGAGTCATCCTCCCGCGAGGCTCCGTGGCGCAGCGAGGCCCAAGGGGGCTGATGCAGCACTTCAAGAGTTCAAGGAAGCCGCTCGGCCAGCTCTCTCTGGCGCTGACGTCCCACCTGGAACCGGCACGATGGGAAGGCTGGGCAGAGGCTGCGCCGACGTGGCGCTTCCCCCTCCTGCTCACCTGCCGGCCATGCAGCTTGCAGCCACGCGGGCCCAGATGGACCAGATGGGATCAGAGGCACATCCGATGGTGTGCAGTCCTCTGGCCGTCGCATGCCCTGGGCTGGGCTGGCCTGGCCTGGCCCGGCGGTCCGACCCTCCACGCCTGTGCAGGATCGCCTGAGGAGAGCGAGGGCCATCAGGCACGCTGGGCATGCAGCCTCTGGACCCCAAGCACGGTGGGCGATTGCAGGGAGGAGATGGGGGCTCCGCGCTTGCCCGGTGCGGCCCTGTCCCCACTCAGCCTGCCCTTCTCCAGGCTGCACAGGCCCCGCTCTCTCCTATTTATTTATTTACTTACTTACTGATTTATATCCTGCCTTTTCCCTACAAAGGGCTCAAGGCAGCTTACATCATTCTCCTCCTCCATCTTATCCCCACAACAACAACCCTGTGAGGGAGGTTGGGCTGAGAGGCTGTGACTGGCCCAAAGTCACCCAGTTGGCTCCGTGGCTGAGCAGGGACTCGAACCCGGATCCCCTGAGTCCCAGTCCCAGGCTCTTCACCACGACGCCACGCTGGCTCTCCTCACAGGACTTTGTTTCCCATCCCGAGATCATCCTCTGAACCATTTCCAAAGCCCTCCTTTCCCTCAGTTACCTGAATATTTGTATTTTTCCAACCGAGTTTAAAACAGTCTGAGAAAAAAGCGAGGCACCCGGTCATCTGCCCTCTTCTCCTTCGTTACAGAACATTGGGAAGAAGATGTCCTGCCAACAGTTCATGGCAAATCTGGATGGACTGAATGACGGGAAGGATTTTACGAAGGAGGTGCTAAAGGTAACGGGGTGCTTGTTGTTTCCCGAAGCTCAGTTGTGCTGCAGCACTGAACACACGGGTGGAAACAAAGAATTCAGAATTCAGGCTGCAGAACTGCATGCGCCTTCCTCTCAGAAAATCCCTGCTTTCTGAAAGCTAGCGGGAAGGGTTCACCAAGCTTGGGTGCCTGCACGTGCTAGTTTTCCATGAGCAGGGCGTTCGTTCCATGGGAGCAATCAGACGGGTGGCCTTCCACCGCACGCTGAGGCGACACGGCACCTCGCGGGAAAGGGGGATGTTGCATTGCATTGGAAGTGAACTTTCCTCAGAAAGAAATCTGATCACCCCAAGGCTGGGCTCCCAGCGCCAGAACGGCTGGGCAACGCTGCCCCGTCCCATGGCTGCAGCTGGCTAATCCCAGCTTGGGATGCTGCTGCTGTGCTGAGACAAACCTTCCTGCAGCTGCGGACTCCAGAGGGTCCTGGACAGAGCCGCCCCACCTCTCACACCACAAGCGTCCTCTCCCTGCTTCGCCTCACTCCTCCCATTCGCAGCATTTTCCTCCGGTGGATGGCGGCCCGGCCATTTAGGAAGCAGCTAATTCTAGTTACATGGCAATTTTGCAAGGCACAGGCGGAGATGCGCCTCTTGTGGCCACTGTTGCGCCCCATGACAGTCGGGACTAATCACGTCCAAGTCCATTCTGTACCACCATATAGGTAGGCCTGCGAATCAAAGGGATACCTTCCAGGTCAGGTTAATTGCAAAGAGCTCGCCTTTCCTTTTGGGAGAGGCCATTAAACAAGCCTTTGATTTTGGAAACTTGTTCCTTTTACTGGCAGTGTGGGATTTCCTAAACCCAGAGCTCCAAAAGCAAAAACAAACGGGAGAAGAAAAGACCTGAGATAAGGTTTTCCACTGAGATGACAGGAAACGTAAAGCTGCAATGCCCAGGCAAGCGAAAAGCACCAAACAACAGGTGCCAGTTTGCTGTAGATGGATTCACGGTGGAGCTGGACAAGATGTAGATGCTGCGAGGCAGGGAAAAGGGGCAGGCGCTGCGGGAGAGATGCGTCTCCACGCAGCTTCCCCTCCCACCTGCCGAAGGAGGATGCTGCTCTCAAAAGACGCGGCCCTTTTGCGTGTGCCAGCATGACGCTTAGCTGCCAGCCCAGTCAGTACGTGGAAGGGGAGACGGCACCATTTGGGGCCACCCTCGTGTACGCTTTGGCATATAATCAAATGCAGGCAGGGATGCTTGCGCGAACGCCATCCACAGATTGAAGTCCTGCTCTGAAAGCCCACCAAGAGCTGATTCTATGTTCTTCTTTCAGGCCTTGTACAACTCGATCAAAAACGAAAAGCTGGAATGGGCTATGTGAGTATTTTCTAATACTTGTATATTATGCATTTATTACATTCCTGTGTGGCCCCATAGCTGATGCTCCTGGGGGGGCATGAAAAGCATAAAATTCAACAAAATCACTAAGAAAGCTTAAAAGTACGGTATACAGTAGAAGTATATTGTAGAAGCTAAAAGCCAAAGAAGCAATGCAAAGTAAAAGCGAGCAGCAGTGCGTTTTTTTTAAAGTAGAGGATTTAAAATGACAGAAATGGAAAGACTCGGCTTCCTGGGGGAATCAGAAAGTCTTTGCCTGGCACAAGAAAAATGCAATGCCGATGCTCTGGAAGTTCTTCTGAAGCTGGGGGCCACTGCCAGAACGGCCCTGTTTGTTGGAGAAGCACCACGAAGGATGAGCTTGCGATCCGGGCAGACGTACTGTATGTGGGAAGAGGCCGTCCTGCCGGAATCCTGGCCTCAAGCCATGTAGGGCTTCGAATGTTACCACCAACACTCTGAATCGAGCCCATACAGGAACTGGCTGCTGGTCCAGATAGAAAATTATGGATCGGATATGATCACATTCGCCCGTCCCCGTTAGCAATCTTGCTGCTTTGATCTTTGAAGTTTGTGGCCCATTTTTAAAGTCGGATCCATGTATGTAGCAACCTGCCAAGAGCAGGGGGGTTCTCCGAGCTATCCCTGACTTGGCCACGTTATCAGAACCACCTTTATTAAAGCTATTGCCACGGGTAAATATTGTTCTGGACAGAAACACGGGTCTGAATTCCTCAGCTCGAATGGTAGGAGGGGAACGATGGTAGGAATCACTGCCTTCTGGAGTGAATATGTCATGATTAAAGAGACCAGACCTGCTGGTCTCAGAGCAGAGTTCTGGGTGTCCCATGCTGGCTCCACTTCAGAATGCGCGGAAAGTGAATGCTGAAACCGCTGCCTTCACGGAGGTGTCCCTTGATCGGTGAGGACGACGCGCAGTGGCTTGCACAGCACGGCCTTCATGCGCACACCCGTTTCCTCCTTCCTTCAGCCCAAATGCAGATGGGAGGGACGGACACCAGGGAGCTGCAAGAATGCTCCTCCTTGCGCTGGTCCTGCATTGCCTTCTGAGCCATCTGACTCTTATTGAATTTCTTTGCTCTGGTGGACAAGACTTGCCCAAATCTGTGCAGCAGAGTAGGAGCAGATGTGAAATATCTCAGAACCTTCCACATTCCAGGAGACGGGGATGGTCTTTACTGATTCCCCCAATTCCGACTCATCCCAGAAATGTGGGTCAAAATATTCCCAGAACGATGAACGGTACTCTTAAAACACCACGCTAACCAAAGCAACTCAGGTCTTGCGTGCTGTTTGAGATGGGGCGTGGCGTCCATGCAGCTGGATGGGATGCAACATTGCGGAGCCTGGGTGTAAAAAATGGAGTGGAACTGGCTGCATCTGCCCCAATTTTCTGAGAATCCTGTGGCTGGCTAAAATTGGGAGGAGATCCTAGTGGCACTTTTCAGACAGCATCGTTCCCACCTCCCATTTCGGCCGCCCAGAGTGTTGGAGAAGAGCAGTCAGCACTGATTCTTGCACCGAAGGCTGCTTGCTCCTCATTACAGAGAGGATTGCTCCGCATCGCCCTGAAACATTAATCTAACGGATCCACAGGAGGGAGCCCCATGCCTCTGTCTCCATTTGGCTGCGTGGAAAGTGTTGGCATTTGCGAAAGAGATTATATAAGCGAGTTCAGGGAAAGTGCATCTGAGCATCAGGTTGATAAATAAATGCATACAAGGATAAGGGGGGGGGGGGAGATAACCGTACAAAAAATATCCAAGGCAGGGAGCGACTCGTTAGCTTTCCGAAGCAGGAATATGATTTATGGAACTGACATTAAAGTGATAATAAAAGAGGACAGAATCTAGGACATTTCCAAGGGAGAGCTCTCCCAGCAGATGGTGGAGGTAACTTTATGCTTTGATTACCTCCCTGCTGGCAGATACCTTTTCCTGCCAAATGGTACAAAATATGTACATCAGCCGCAACATGTACTGTTGCATACATAAAAGATATATTGAAAGCAAATTGTCCCAGGAGCTCCTTGTGCTGTCTGGTTTTGAATCTTGCCTTATGGGTAGCTTCACATCTTATGGAAGGGCTTTCAGTTTTTTGGCATTCAGGGAAGTCCTTCTTCCACGCGGGATGATTTCCAGATGGCAAGCGGTGCTTTGTCTCTGCAGGGCAGTGCCCTATCTTGGTCTCGCTTCTGACACAACTTCACTTGGCAGAAGCACCAAAAGCTTGAGGGGCAAACTGCTCATTAGCACAAACTGCCCAAAGCAAAGGGTGAGGTGGAACCAAAAACTCCCCAGTGGTCTGTTTGATCAGAAGGGTTTCAGCTGCCCGACACAGAGCCCCACCTGGATGTTTGTGGCAAGACGGACACGATGACGGACATGAAGCTTCAAGTCTTTCCTGCAGAGGGACACACGAAGTCCTGTTCGTTTCCACGCGTCCTAAGACAAAGAACGTGCATCCATACTCTTGGACGGAGGCACACAGAAACAATCCAGTTGCTCTGGAGCAGTGATGCTCAAGATAATGTTCTAGGTGCTGGCACATCCTTAGCAATTTTATTGAAAAGAGGCTTAGAAACAGAGAAACAGAGCAAGTCAGAAGGGGCCTCCGAGGCCATCTAGTCTGATCCTGGCTCCAGCTGGCTCCACTCATGACATGCCCACCATGTGCCTGTCCAGGGGCTTGTGATGGCAACATATATTTCATTTCGGTATTGAGAATTTCCAAGCCACCCTGTGTCAGTAGCCTTATAAATGGTTCTGTGCAAAGCAATAGCACTTTCCGTGGTGACATATTCCATTGGAAAAGGCAATGGATTTACCAAGCGAAGGGGTCTGCTCTCTCTTGCCCACCCATCTCCCCATCCCCAGACCAGGGGAGCCTTACCTGGGGAAGGGAAGGGGCTGCTGGGGACCTGCAGTCTGGTGCTGGACTGCGCCCCAGGAAATCCAGATTCCAGCCCCCTCTTGGCTGGGAAACTCCATGGGGGACCTTGGTCCAGGCACAAACTCCCTGCCTAACCTACCTTACAGGGCTGTTGTTGTGAGGATAAGATTGTGAAGATGAGGAGGAGAATTAGGTAAGCTGCCTCGAGCTCCTTGCAAAAGGGAAAAAGGCAGGACAGAAATGTGAGAGGAGAGAATTTAAAGGAGAGCTCTCATCATCCTGGACTGCAAAACCTGCTCCAAGGAATTTTGAATGTGGCACCGAGCTGCGCAGCTATGAAAAAGATGGGGAGGGTCTGTTTGGAGAAGACCTTCCTCAGCACTTTTGCCGAGGGTCTGAAGTGCGCCCAGGCCGTGGACTCACACAAGCAGTGCCCCGCAGGAGAGTCTGAACTGGCCTTCCAGCGCTCGCTTTCCTAGGTGCAGCAGGAAGCGGGCGGCACGCAGACCTCGCATGAACGGGCTGCTGCCAGGCAGGCACCCTTTCCCGAGCCACGTTGCCTGCTTGGCACGACACCGCTCCTCCCCAGGCACACACAGCCGTGCCAAGGAAGCGTTTCTACCCTTCGGTAAAATCTAACTCTTTGCTCCGCCTTATTTCGAAGTGATGAAGACGAGCTGAGGAAGTCGCTGTCGGAACTGGTGGATGACCAGCTTGGGGCCAGCGCGAAGAAAATGGCCAGGATCCTGGACGGCAGCAACCCTTTCCTGGACGTCCCCCAAGCCCAGAACGCCGTGACCTACAAGCACGGCGTCCTGACGCGCAAGGCCCACGCGGACATGGACGGGAAGAGAAGTAGGCGCTGGGGGCCTGGAGGAAGGAGGGTGGGGGGGCGTGATGGGTGGCCCCATGCTGCCGGGATCCTCAGCACCGTTCTTCACGGTGCACTAATAACGAGCGCGGCGACCGTGCTTCACATTTGCACAGGAAGCGACGTTGCCCCATCCGCACGATCAGCCGTGGCTTCCCCAGAGCCCCTCCCCACGCTCTTCCGGCAATATTTGGATCGCTTCCAAAGGTGCTTGTTTTCCAGCAAGGGAATTCAGGCCAGCCAGTCTCCAGATACCGTGTGTTGTGGCTACTCTCGGTGCCAGCTGGAGCGCCAATTCCCTTCTCCAGGGTTGAGTTCCCAGTTTGCCAGAGGAGCCGGCACGGTTTCTCCATGCCTGCTCCAAGGTCACAAGGGGAGGGAAGCTGCAAAGCGAGCCGTCACTTCTGGTCTCGCCGCGGAGGGTCTGGGCCACACGGTGCCCCCTTGGGGGACACTGCGGGGGTGGTCCAGCTGGTCTTTCTTCGAGCTGCTCTGAGGATGCGCCATGGTAAAATTTGCCTACGTGTCTTTCAGCTCCCAGAGGACGAAGAGGGTGGAAGAAATTTTATGCTGTGCTTAAAGGGATGATCTTGTATTTGCAAAAGGTAAAGCAGATCGGTCACTCTATTTTACGATGATCCAGGGTTGCTTCTGGAGCCGCTGGAGGGAGAGGTTCATAGAAGGACCCCTCCAGGATCGGGCGGAGGGCTGTCTCACCTGGCGTTGGGTTTTCAGCAGTGACTGGCTGACCGTTGCTTCTGGAAGGTCAGCAGCAGGCCTTGCTCTGCTGAATGGTTCTAGCACCTGCCTGTACAGGTGCGCTGAGGTTTTCAGAGTGGAGTCGTCCCTGGCAGCCTGGGACACAGTACAGGTAGTCGCCAGGTGAAGAATGAAATCCTGAGAGTGCCCTTAAGTTGAACGCGTGTGTAAGTCGGATCACATGAGTAAGCCAAATGTTTGTCTTAGTACCTGTATATGCTGTGTATATTCATACCTATATGGTGTGTGTGTGTGTGTATGATGTGTATATATATCGTAAGTGCTGACACTTCAGAAATACTTCCGTGTACACTAAAACACAATACAGCATGAAAATGATGTGGTATTAATAAAGTTACTACAGGGACTGAAGAGCGAGAGAAAGGGGGGAATCTGTCGGGGGGTGTGCAGGTGTCCCAAATTGTAAGAAACACTTCTTAAAACAGGTTTTGTTGGGCCTAACATTAGTGGTGGAGACGGACCTGGTGCTGGAGAATTGGGTTTGATGGTGCTGCAATCGAAGTAATCTTCATGGTACTAAGCGTGGCTTCCACCCGGGGCTTTCCACCCGCTCCAGTGTTCTCCTTTGACAGTTGTTCCAGTTGTTGATGGGCTGGAGCCGAAGGCTTTCCCAGTGGGTGTGGGCAGCTCTGCCAGTTCCACTTGGGTCCGCTTTCCTTTCCTTTGACGCATCGCCTGCACGCCTGCACGCGTGCTTCGGAGGCCTGGCTGCAAGGGCAAATGCGAAAGAAAAGCCAGGGGTGCCCCACACGCCGGCTGGGGTGCGCTCGAGCTGGCTTGGCGTGAAGTGTTGCAAATGTGAGGAAGTGGAGGGGGCTTTTTACCACACGCGGCAGGCTTGTGAAAAGGTGGGTCAAAAAACGGGAAAGGAATACATGCTGAAATGCAGGGGGGTAAAAATTACCTTTCCTGTGACTGCTAAGAATATTCTATTGAGTATCATGCCAGAAATCCTTCCAAGAAATATGAAAGAATTGTTTAAATAAAGGATAACAGTAGCCGGAGTCACAATTGCAACCATGTGGTCAACTAGTGACAACTGGAAAAATAAGCAAGCAGAACACACTGTGATGGCAAACTAACCAGCTATATAAATGGAAGACTGGCCAAGGAATGCAACGATAAATGGAAAGTTTTCTATCTATCTATCTATCTATCTAATCATTGAGAGAAAAACATAATCTACAGAAATGTTATTAGTGAATTATACTTTCAATATAAATGGTTTCTTGCTATTTAATGCATTTTTTAAAAGAATAGGCTAGCTGTTTTGGCAGAAGGCTTGGAATTGATAGAATCCAAAGTCAAGGTACAAAAATATACATAGTTTAACTTGTTTATTGTTAGAACTTTAGGAAGTGCAAACATTAAAAATACTGTATCAAACCAAAATGCTTCTGATGTAGCAAATGAAGCCAATGGTATAACTTTAAAGTCTGTGTTATCAAAACCTCGCAGAAGGAAAGAGAATGGGTCTGGCAGTTTTGAGGGATGCCTCTGCCGGCCATCTTATCCCATGCAGTCCAGCTTGTCTTTCTATGGGCAATGTATATATTCCATAGCATTCCTCAAATGTATTTTCAAGATCTTTCTGCACCGTTTTGGAAGTTTATGGGGAAGACGTCCCCCACCCCCTCGTTTTTCACTGGAGAAGGTACAGCTGACAATTAAGCAGAGCGGATTTCCATTTTCCAGATCCTACGGCTTTGTTGATAACCTGGAAAACAACATGCCTCAATCGGCTATTTTGACATCAGGTTCCTGGGCGTCCCTTTCCGTCCGGATGGGAATCTTGCCAAGAGAGGCCTGGCTCCACCAGGGATCTCAGCAGCGGGAGAGGCATGGGACCCAGCCGGCACCAGCCGCAGCTTGACCTGTACACTCCCACTAAACTAACTTCACAAGGCTCCCGTTCTGACAACCTCCGATGCCTCTCAGTGGAGGTTTGCCAATGGAATCTATGCAATGCGCTCCCCAGAGAGGTCCGCCTGGCACCGCTGTTATTTGTTTTTTGGCGCCAGGCCAAGACCTTTTCATTTAAACAATATTTTAATAATTGTTAATATTATTTATTGGTTTTAATTTTTATAGCCAGGGTGAAACCAGAATTTATATGTATCTATTTAGATGATTGTTCATTTATTATGTTGGAAGCTGTCCCAAGGCTTACGCGAATGGGACGGCATACAAAAACGCCAAATAAATAAATAAATAAATAAATAAATTTATACCTTAGATCTGCTAGTAGGCTTGGATGGCCCATTCCAAGCAATCCTTCTCCTCCCATCCAGGCTGGCGGTATATTCTGCTTTAGCTTTGGCTGGAATCCATAGATGGCCCCTCCTGGCCCCCCCATTCTCTTGGAGGAAATGATTGGCTGCTTGCAGGAAGCTCTGTGCAAAACAACTGCCTATTGAAGTCCCCTGAGATGTCGCGAAGTTGCTCAGAAGGTCAAAGATGAAAATGGCAAAGAATTGAGACACTCCGTGTGGTTTAATCAACAGAGAGCTTTGCTTCATATGTGTTGCTTCCGTAGATTTTAAATTAAGATCGATTCCGCAAAAAAGCATGGTTGTTGGCCAGTGACGGCAGAGCATAATGATGGTTCATGGATATTGAATGCCCTCAGTGCTTGCTATAACGAAGCTGCCCGACTTTACCAGAGGCTGGCCTGATGGGATGCGAGGCAGACACGACCTGCAGGAATTTCCGTTTGGTTGGAGGTCTTTCCTGACACACATTTTGGTCTTGAGAAATGAGTGGCAATAGTAGGTGCAAAGCACTTTTCAAATGCATGTGGAGATTAATAGATAGGCAGCAAAACCAGGTGCAGAGGGTTTTTAAAGTGGCAAAGGAAAGACCCCAGACCTGGAAGGAAGGAAGGAGTCCCGCCTCCTGTGACAGTGGTGGACCGAAGAGTTCGCCACCTTCACTCCGTCTGAGTGAATCAACTCCACCAACTGAAGTCCTATGATTACTCATTTAGAGATATCGATTAACCTATATACTTCTTCACATTATACATTAACATAGGTATTTGAAATGGCAATATTTCTCCTTTCCCATGCCTTCCCCACTGATTTTTCCATAGATCTTGGTAACTATACATTTCTGCATCCCGTGGTGCTTGTTCTTTCCCATTCTCCCACTCTCCTTCAGAGGTTTTCCTTGCTATTGCCGTTCACACCACGTTGCAAATAAAAAAGTTGTTTTTTTTAGAAAACTTGGCAGCATATGGTCTTCTCTCTTCTCTCTGCAACACCCGACTGGTTTCATTAACATTGAACCTGTCTTGTGCCACTACTGAAGAAGCATTTCTGCACAAAGCTTTCCCTCCATACTTGCTCAAGGGTTTACAGAAAGTGCCGAGAGGTGGACCCACTCCTCTTGTGGTTCTCAGGATCCGTGTCACTATTTCTTTAACCTTCTCCCCTACGCTGCGTATTGCAAATTTGCGAATGTCCCCTGATTAGTCTCCTTTATCTTTTAATTCTCTTATTTTCTTTGTTTGAGGTGTTTTAAGGAAAAACTGGATAAACGCCTGCCAGGTACAGGTGGGTGTCCCCTGAATCTCTTCCAGCATACCTCCGCTACTATCATCCTCTTGCTCCTCCTTCACAGGATGAATACAAACCCGACAAAGACCTTTCCGAGGTAGACCTGAAGCATGCAATCCGGATTCACCATGCCTTAGCCACAAAAGCCTCTGATTATAGCAAAAAGTCCAATGTGCTGAAGCTGAAGACGGCGGACTGGAGAGTATTCCTCTTCCAAGCCCCGTAAGTACCGCCACAAGATCCATTTAAGTTGAGGGCTATGTTGTTTTCCTTTTAACCTGGTCAATTGTGGACCATCTGGCCATTCTCCACATCAAAGAGCTTCATGGTGAGCATGCAGAGTTTGTCATCCATTTCCAAAATCACAAGATTTGTGGTGGATTAGACCAAAGGCCGCCTTACCCGAGATTCACTCATGCCGTGGGCATTTGGACATCCATGGGGAGACATGGGCATGGATGCCACCGTGTTCCCTACCAGCATCCAGACTGTCTGGCATAGTGGAGGCAATCTACAACCTTCATAATGAGCCTGAAACCCTCACAATTAAAATGACTAAAAGGCACCGTCTCTTCCTCTCCAAATATTCTTCCTCTCTTGCTTCATTTCATCTGTTTCTTCACCAGCTTCTAGAGGACAAAAGGCAGTCCTTCATTTCATTTCATTTCATTTCATTCTTTTCTTTTCTTTTCTGGTGGGGTAAGGGAACATGAGAGAAAGAGAGACAAGTGTCCCTTGGGAGTGGAGGACGGCCCTGGGAGGGGAGGAGGCAGGGGCACCTGCTACTTTTCTACTTTTAGGTGGATATTGAACGGGAATTTGTTGAGCATATCAAAGCTTGCCACCTTATGAATTGCCGATCCACTCCATGGATAAGCCTTTGTTTGCATGTATTTGCACACCTCTTTGAACCCTTTAGACGTGAGCAGTTCATGACTGTTTGTAAACAGACAAACACGAAGGTTTATTTGCAAGTGTGGAGCAGCTCTCATGCCAAGAGGGAGAAGGGTCAGAGACGGGTTGCAGAGCTGATCAGCGGATGGGTGAGGGAGCCCTGTGGGAAGAGCTGGGTGCATCTGGCTTTGAGAAGAGGAGGCTGCGGGGAGATGGGGGTCTTCAAACAGGGGAAAGACCATCCAAGACCAGCATCTCCGGGTGGCTTACCAAAATAAATAAAAACCCAGAAAACAACGACATACCAACAAACCACACACTGCATCTGGCCATTCATGATAAAATCAAAGGTAGAACCAATTAAATAGTAAACGGCTGGGAAAATAAAAAGGTTTTCACCAGATGCTGAAAAGAATAAAGCGACAGCACCAGGCAAACCTCCCTGGGGAGCATGTTCCAAAGTCGGGGCCTTTCTCTGAGTAGCTGCCCTCCCAATTTCCTAATTTCCTAATTGCCCTCCTAATGCAAGACATGCAATAAATAAGGATAAATAAAATGCAATAAATAAAATATAATTAAAAAGGACATGCAACTCTCTTACACTTAAGTGGCATCGCAATTCATTGCTCAGGCAAAGTATCTCGGTTCTATTCACTATCCCATCCCTGCTTAAGCGCCTGGATATCATATTTAATCACCGATAGTGAGCCTTCATAAGCGCAGGTCATGCATCACTTTAGCTGATCGGCCTCAATAAGTATTTCCAGTAGAGGAAAAGATTCTGAAGCTGTAAAAAAAGCAGGGCCCAAATGCAGGACGCATGATGAAAGTAAGAAGACGAATAAACAGAAACGCTTTCCTACTCACAACCAAAATAGCACAATGCACGTTTATTCTGCCTTCCTCGCTGTGCCAGCTCGCCCATGACTTAAATCAAATCCTTGGTGACGTGCGCCAGCGCACACTCCAGCACGCAGCCCTGTGTTTGCACAAGGGCAGGTGCTCCCCAGTGCTCCTGGAGTGCCTCAGCGCACCCATCGACCGGGTTCAGGTCGCAGAATCAAGGAGCAGCAGAGTCAAAGGGGCCGAGAAGGCCATCCAGCCCGAGCCCCTTCCCTGCGCAAGACTGGTTCCCCCGTGAATTCCGACCTGCCAAGGATGCCAAAACGGGACAATGTGGAGTCCCTTGTGGAAAATAACACTCTGCACAACCCAAGTCTTTTGGCTCTCATGAGCTTGGAGAGCCCCCCCCCGCCCCGCCCTGCTGAAATATTGCAGGTTGATAACGTGGGCTGAACAAGCCTTGATATGTGATATTTGCTCTTTTTCACAATCGATAAGCAGGATGGCAGCTCAGAAAGATGACTTACTGAAGCGAATGCGAAAACCATTATATAACTCGAGGTGGTGCTGGCAGATCAGTTAAAAACCCAATGCCAGCCCCAATCTTGGATCACTTTTTCCCGTTTTGGCATGGTACATGTGTCTGTCTCTCTGTCTGCCTCTCCCTCTCTCTCTTTCTTTCTTTCTTTCTTTCTTTCTTTCTTTCTTTCTTTCTTTCTTTCTGCCTCTGATGCTCCCTCCTCCAATTCTGCCTGCTTTTCATAGAAGCAAAGGAGAAATGTTGTCTTGGATCTTGAGAATAAATTTGGTGGCTGCCATTTTTTCTGCCCCTGCATTTCCAGCTGCTATCTGTTCTATGAAGAAATTCTGTCGCCCTCTCTTGCCATCTTCAACAACTAAGCTTTGTCAGGTAAAAATAAAATGTGTGTGTGTGTGTGTGTGTGTGTGTGTGTGTGAGAGAGAGAGAGAGAGAGAGAGAGAGAGAGGGAGGGAGGGAGAGAAGAGATGCAAGAAGTCAGAGAAATCCTGAATCCTCCATGTAATACCATCATAGCTGTTTGGAGTAGATCAGAATTTGTCTTGTCCTGCGTTTTCCCCTTTCTTCATGTGTTTAGCAAGAAGACTCTCCCAACTTCACAGCCTGGAATTAAAGTTCCTCCTCAGCCAAGGGCCAGGAAGGCTTTGGGGGCTGTATTTTGTCCCCCACGCTTTCCAACATCTCCATGAAACTGCTGGGAGATGCCATCTGGCATTTGGGAGCTGAGACCCAATTCCATCTCATTTGGTCACCTCTACAAGTCATGCACCGTTGCCTGGATGTAGTGATAGACTGGACATGGTTTAACAAACTGAGGCTTAATTCCCAAGAGATGGAGGTTCTGCTGATCAGTGGAACCGCACCTGCCAACGGTGATGGCACCATCTCTGCTCCAAGGATATCTGGGAGCCAGAGCTTTAATTTCTCAGCAACGTCTCACTCCAGGATGTCCTGGGGATTAAGGGAGGATGGTGGTCCAGACTGGGCTGTGGCCAGGACACCTAAGGGAAATGCTGTTGACCCATGGCTCTATAAAACATAGGGGTTGCCCTGTTAAGTGCTTCAGACCAAAGGGATGTACATTTGCAAGAAAAAAAAACGTGGCATGCCGGGTTTTGGGAAGCCTGGACTCAGCCCAGGTAGTCCTCTCCGGAAAAAGTTCCTTGTCTGAAATCTCGTTGATGTCTCTGTGGTACGCATGTCTGAAGAGCTCCCCTCTTTCTGTCTCCACCACCCATGCCCAGGAGGAACAGTTGCAGTCTCATGAGAATAAAATGAGGCAAATTGCTGATGAGCTAAATGAGCATAAGCTACACCCAGTAGTGAAAGGTCTCAAATCAAAAGAAGCTGAAGAATACCGTTTGAAAGAACATTACTTAATATTTGAGGTAAGTCTCTTTTCGCCGTCGTCAAGCTGACCGTGGCTTATGGTTCAGAAAGGGGGTGAGGTTGGCTCTATCAACGGGAGCATAAATGTTTGAAAAGATCCTCAGGAGAGGAACAAGCTCACCCACCCAAAGCAGCACGGCACTGAGGCAAGTGACCGGACACAACCGTTCTGCACAACCCAGAATCGGGTAGCATTTCCACAGACTGCATGGAGAACTTGAGGGTGTCCTGAGGCTGCTCTGCAGGCCCAGTGCTGGATTTTCTGGCCTTGCGCGTTTTTGCTGTTCGTTCTGGTCTTGGGTTTGGTTCGGAAGGTTGAACTGGCCCCGTTCCAGCAGTGCCCAAAGGGCTTCCGACGCTGAGCGATCTGATCCAGGCCTGGGGTGCCGAAGTGCAGTTCCAAGCTTTGTTATCCCCTGACTTTCAGATGCTCCAGGGGAGTCCCAGTTCAAAAGTGTAGCAAAATATGTGCTGAAATGCATGCTCTGATGATTTTAAATAGGTATTTGGATGCACATTTTATGCGGTTCTTGAAAAAAATACAATTGTACACATTTATGGAGCAGACACGTGTGCAGGAGAACGTGGGCCAAATCTGCGAGTGCCCAGGTGCCCGCACAGCTTCCAGCACACCGAGAGGAATTTGGGTCTTGGTTTCATTTGGACAGAAAGCCCCTTGCGACTCCTGAATTCCCATCAGTCCCAGTGAGGTCGAGCAGGAGGGGACTGGGGACGTGTCTTCTGTAAAGAGCCGAACCTCCCGTGTGAGCACTTGGTCCTTTCAATCCATTTTGAGGTTGCAGTTTTGTCCCCGGATCAAGATGGCAGCTCTGCCCAGCACGGGAACCCCTGACACAGAGAGCTGTTGATCCTATTCCACTTCATCCCACCCCGATCTCGGCTTCAGGCGTCTAAAGCCGTTGCTGCAACTGAGTGAGGTCAGGGCATTTATGGTGCAGAGACAGGAATGAGGCGAGAGACTAACCCCACAGATACTTCTGGATCTCTTGCCCTGAGAGCAATCCCCATTTCTAAAGTGGAAAATGTCACAATTTAAGATTCAATTGCCATTTTCACCAGACCTGTTGAAAGCAGCTCCTGGATATGTTTGCTTTTAGATTTATTTTTGCATAAACTAATTGTGAAACCTGGCAGTTCAAGGTGGGTTCACACATAAGGCCTCTTTATGCCTCAGTGCAAATGTTTTGGACTCTGTAATTCTTCACTGGATGTCCCCGCTGAAATTTAGACTCTCTCATTACATTTCCAATGCAGAGAATTGCCATGAGCTAATTAGGCAATTTTTGGAGTGCTCTATGCCTTGGCAAGCCTGGAGGAATGTTGTCCATGGGGTTGTGATGGGTTGGGCACAACTTTGTGACTAAACAACAAACACCTTGGCAAACCAGTCTTGTATGCCCATTTTTCTTAGAGCTAGAACTGTGTGCGGTTCTCAGAGTTCTTCCGCCAGCTCCTTTATGACTCCAATATGGAGTCCATCAGGTCCTGGAGATCTGAGCTCGCTCGACCCAATTAGCTGATCCTGGACCATTTGCCAATACATCTTTTGAACAGCTGTGATCATCCCGAGTTCTCAGGGGTTCTGTTTTGTTCCATCGCCCTCCACAGAAAAGCCGCTACGAGACATACATCACCCTCCTGTGTGCAAAGATAAAAGCTGGGACAGACGACCTGGAGAAAATCGAAGCCAGCCTCTTTACAGCAGAGGCCGAAGATGCTTCCTTAAGGAAGACTTACTCCAGTCCCTCGATAAGCCAAGGACAGGTGCCTGTCGCAGACAGCAGAACAGAGAAGGACGCTGCAGGACAGAATCCTTCAGGTAACCCATAAACACAGGTAACCAGGATGTGATGACTGGTCCACCTCTCTGTTGCAACTTTTGAGCACAAATGTTTCCTCCGCGGAAAGTTTCCGAAGAAGCTTTAGTTTACACGATCTCTCTCCTGGTGCTTTAAGTGTTTCAGGATCACAAACTGTCCACCTGGGGCATCACTGCTGATGTTTCATGCATGCAATAAAAGGAAAAGCTTTCCCTATGAGGGCTGGGGTTGTCGATTACCAGCTGCTTTTCCTTGTGCACACCTGGACTTTCCCCTGGGCAGGTGCTTTGGTGCCGTGGAGCTAAGGCCAAATCCGTTCCTTTGTGTTTAGCAACTGTGAGTGGAGTTCTTGTATGGTCCCTTACAGCAATGAAACACGAGAAGCCGAGAGCCCACCACTGGGCACAATTTCTATACATTGCAACGGGTTCTTAGCTGGACGGTGGAGTCACATGACTCACTGTATAGGCATCACCCGCCCTTCTGCCAAAACACAGGTATTCTTTTCAACCTCCGTGTCCAGACCAGAACCTTGCAAAGGTAGCAGGAAGAAGGTAACTTTAATATACAGGGATCTTAGCAATGCTAAGTAATGTTTTGAAAATGTAGTAGCGTAATTAATAGTTCTGTTTCTGTTGTGTAATGAAATCCCACCCGGCTTCGCCACAGTACGGGGCTCTGCTGTTGATACGCTCCCAGCATCCATGAATTGCCAGTTCACTGCTTCTCTGGTGCCCGTCCTTTCTGTGTCCGCGTCCGCTTCATGGGCATCCACACAACCGCAAGCCGGGCGACGTGCATGGGGTGGGAGGGAGGTGGAGCCGCTGACCACGGGTCGCTGTACATACACGCCGTGTTGTTCTCGCGCAGTCGAATTCGCTTCTGTTCCTTTCTCGCTCTGCTAGGAATGATCTCGCTGCCTTTTGAGGCCGCTAGCACTTTATTTACTGACCGGTTCATTGTCATCTTCTTTTCTAGACAAGCTCACAGTGAATCAAGTTCCAGTTTTAAAGGATCTTGTAGCTGCTAATTACAGTAATTTACAGTTTATATTTTTGCAGCTTTTTAAAATAAAGATAATAAAGATATTTGTTTGAATTCTTGCAGCTTCTGAGAATTTATAAACGATTGCGTTTCCATATTTCTTACCACTAAGAAGCTGCCACCCTGTTTTGCCACCCCCTTTTTTAATCTCTTTGGTTTTTGTACAGTTTGATAGTTTTATTTCAAAGGATGCACTAAGAATCATGTACAAATAAATAATAATGATGAACCTGTTAATAAAGAGGATTAATTCAAAGCTCTGTCTGGTGTTCTTATTGACTGGTTTCAGCAGTGGCACAATAGTCCATCTCAGTATGGACTTAGGTCTTTTCTAACATGGGCATGTTAGAGAGCATGAGGGGCTAATGGGCGCTCTTTAAAGGAATTTAATAAAGAAATCGAAATAAAATAATACACATGTACAAATGGCCCTCCGGTGGAGAAAGCTGCAGATGTCCCTGTTTCAGGTGGACAGAAGGACCTGAGGCCTAGAAAGAGGTGTCTGGGTCCAGCCACCTTTCCCACCCAGCATGCAAAAAGCAACCAGCTGGCAGCCTTCAAAATGGGGCAAACTTCATTCGGAAAATAAGTAAATAATTCCAGTATGAACCTGGCTGCCCAAAAAGAGAGACACGGCCAAGTCCGCACATCAGGAAGGTGCCCCAGGATATGGACGCATGGGTGCCTGACAATAAAAGAGAAGGTGGTTAAACACGCCGAAATGGCTGGGAAAAGAGGCATGCGTTCCCAGAGGTAGAGCATGCATGCATGGCCAAACCAACCTCAGAACGCCTAACTGGAAATGACACGGAGCTGAAGGAACGACGATTTCCCAGCGTGCATCGCCCTGCCGTCCCGCCTTTCTCTGCCAGTTGCAGGATCGCCTCCTGGCACAGCGGAGGCCGCGCTACATGTACTAGCATCTGCCCCGAGGGAGGAAAGTGCCGCAGGGCCGTTCCATGAGGGTTGCACCTCGCGCCCCCCTTGTGACAGCCCTCCTGGTTAAACGGGGGGCTTGTTTTTGTCCTGTCAGACAAAGCACCCCGGCTTTGGCCGGCGTGTCCCGCCGTTCCAAGGGGCGAGGCCCGGAGCCGCTCGGCCGCTCTTCTTTCTGAAACGAGGGGCTGCTCCTCGGTCGCCCACTGGAGCCAGCCCTGGCCTTTGGCCTGGGCCCTCGAGCCTGCAGCGGCCTCTTTCCTCCTGGCCCCTCGTGATCTGTGAGAATGACGGACAGCCCAGGTACCCGGGGAAACGCCTCTGCTCAGGAAAAGGGCTCGAGGGGAAGGCGCCCAGGTGCCCCCGACCAACGTGGCCCATTTGCCCTTTTCCAAAGGCACGGGGAGCAAAGGGCCCGTCACCAGCAGGGCGAGGGGAGGCTCCTTCAGCCGTGCGTCCGTGTGCCGGCTGACTGCGGAGGGAGGGGGGAGCCCGGCGACTCCGCGAGCTGCCGGGCACGGCGCCTCGAGGCCTTCCTGCCGAGCCCCAGCGGACCCTCTGGCAAATCTGGCGGAACCGCTGAGTATGAGATGCCGCAGGAGGCCGAGGGGTGGAACTGCCGCTGGTCCAGCCGGTTGCTGCAGCTGTGGCAGCACCACAAAGGGAGGGTGGTTCCTGTGACGAGGTGGCGTGACCTGCGCCGCTCTCTCAGAGTGCGAGAGGTTGGAGGCACTCGAGACAGGGACGTCTGGTAGGCCCAGGCTCTCAGCCGAAGGCAAGGCATGGCCTGGGAACTTCTCTCGCAGCCGGGCACGTTTTGGAAAGACGCCTTTCACTAAAAGCCTTCAAAATGAGGATGGAAGTCGAGCAGAGAGCTTTGGGGAAGCAGCATTAATTACCTTGAATAGCAGCTCCCGAGCCTCGAGGAAAAGCTCTGCCCAAGGGTCAGGAAGGGTGCAGCGTGTGGGGAGAGGCCTTACCTCCGAGACATCTCTGCTCTTTGCATCGCAAGCGGCACTCACACGCACCTGCCCGACTGGTCCAGCCTTGGCAAAATAGCAAAGGCTTGCGGTGGAGACTTTTGGCTCTTCTCTGATTCTCCTTTGTAGGATAAACCGGCAGAGGAGAGAAGCTTGTCTTCGACATTATTGGCTCTACTACAAAGCATTTGCCTTTCCTGAAACCAACCAACCAACCAACTCAACAAATAATGGGGGAAGACTGAGGAACACTGAAGTGCCTGATCTCGCCTCATCTTGGAAGCTAAGCAGGGTCAGGCCGGGTTGAAATCTGGATGGGAGACTTCATCTCTGGATGGTGTGGAAATGTCATGTAATAATAGAAAAACTTGTAACATGGCATCCAACCCATGAATGCCAGCCAGGAAGAGAGGAGCACAAACGGATGGGCATTCTGCAAGGCACACTTGTATATATTTTATTTATTCAAAGCTTTTTTAGACCATCCCTTACTGTGGTCTCGGGGCGGTTTAACAATAAGACATAATAGAATAATTTTGGGAGGGTTACAGATTGGTGCTTGATAATGCTTAAATGTGAACACGCTTGCGCTCTTCGGTTCAGCCACCACATGGGGTGAGGAGAGAGAAGGCGGGCTGTAGGTGGGTATTCTTTAGGTGGACTTTTCCTGGGTACGAAAAGGTTTTTTCTGTGAACCCCAAGGGCTCCCCCGTGGCCAGAGCTGTGGGGTGCAGCCCTGTGCCCACTTCCTCAGGATCACCCCTGACTGACACGGTGGAATCCACCGCTGGGAAGAAACGTGCAGGATGGCCCGGCCCCTCTCCTCCACGTGTGGGGCAGCTTCCAGTTCCACGTGAGCCAGGGAGCTCGGGCTTGGGCAGCTGCCCTGTTCCACGCGGCTTCCTTGTCACTTCACGAAGACACAGGCTCCATCCAGTGACTTTTTCACCTGCCTTCTCATTACCGCTTGGAGATGATGTCTTCAAAAGGTCGGCCAACTTCACCAGGCTTCCTACTTGCTACAGGGCGTCCCCTCTGTTGGCTGTCGACTGCCGGAGAGGCCGTGCAGTCTTCACGCCCGTCACGTCTGTTACGTCAAACGTTACGTGCGTTTGAGGCATCTTCCCTCCCGCTTTAGCTTTCTTGGCTCCGACCTTTGGTTACAACCTTTGCAAGTTCCCCCAGATCTTTTTCCAACTGATAAAAACAGCTGGGGCCACATCACAGCAGCTGGCTGAGGGCATCTCTCCCTGCCATAAGGCGAGAGTTTTGCCTTTCCCCTTTCGGAATACAGGGAAACACCTGGAGGTCCTGAGGACCTTGCGGGCTCTTCCTGCTCATACTCTCAGGCTTCCAGGCGCTACAAATCCGGCATTGGCGGGCTCCTTGCATGCCCTTGGGGCTGCCCGGCTGCCAGCTTGGATTCACCTCCCCATCATCCTCTGTTCCACTCCGGAGGAGGAAGGGCTGCAAGCTCCCTTCCCGAGACTCCACGGCACTGAGGAGACTGGAGCACCCACAAGCCCTCGCTTCCCGGAGCTGCTTAGCCATGTTGCTCTCAGAGCAGCTGGAGGGACACCCCAAACACGCAGAACGGAACTTTTCTTCCCAGGCATCTGGGATGAGCAGAACGGCCTGGGGCAGAAGCAGGAGGCCAACGCTGGCTGGCTCAGCGCTTCGCCAAGACGCCTGGCCGATGCCCGTGCCGTTTGCAGCTTCCTTGGGACAGGCTGCCGAGCTGAGGTCTTTAGAAGAGGAGCAGGTTTACCTCGCGAGGGAAGGCCTGGCGCCCCCCTCCTGCCCCACTGGTCTGACTGAGGGATCCAAGCGAACATTTTGGGGGTGGATGAAGCGCGGGTAGCGGGGCTGGGAAAGGGGGCAGAAGCCTCACGCCCCAGGACGGCTCTGGGGAACACAGGATTGGGGGATGCTTGAGGGGGCCCTGTGGAGATGGGTGCGCTCTGGGCAATTGCTTTGTGTCAAGTCGTCTAGCTCAGAAAGAGCTTCAGCCCAGGAAAGGACGACTCATTCCAGCAGGGTCTTAAAAGCT